CTTCTACAAGCCAAGCGCAGTTGCCCAGGGATAGCACGTCCACCCTTGAGCTGGGACTTAAAGACCCACAGAGCATGGACCTTCATGTTCTGACTCAGGAAAGGCGACACCCCAAATCACTCACGAGAAAGCAGTCTTCATGAAAAATGCAAGAGGACTTGTTTATTCCAAGTGCACTGGAGTCCACAATCATATGCCACGCAGGGGCAGCGGACTGAGGACCCCAAGTACAGAATTGAGACAGCTTTTATAGGGTTACAACAAAGCCTGCACATCATAAACCAATCATCTTATAGCATCAAGAGCCTGCACGGTGCGGGCCAATCAATTTAAACCATTTTATAGTTTTTAGAGCAATCATTTTAAATCATCCAAGCCTGTGCTTTATAGACCAACCAGTTTTCTATAGCCCTGAAGGTCTGCATTTGCGTGGGCTCCTAGACCTTTCTCCTAAGCAGAGGGCAGGGTTTGGAATTTTTAGATAGTCACTGGAGAGTTAGGCTGTATTTTTCCATCCTTACATGACTTTTGCACAAATTATTAAGAATCAAGAAAGTGCCCCACAGACTTGCCTACAGGCCTGTCTGAAAGAAGAGTTTATCTATTGAGGTTCTTTCATGCCAGATGAAACAGACTGGTGCATTACTGTGTAACCTTCCTCATCATCTGACCCTCTCCTGGGATGGAACATTCTGGAAAAGTTCCATGCCTCTATCATCTTTTAGTCATCAAACTTCACAACATGACTTCCCCATTCCTCTGCTGTTGAGACTTTCTCCCCTCTCAGGACCATGGCACAGCTCTCTTCCCTCCATTTATTCTTGGGTCTGGAACACCGGCTCCCCCTCTGTCACTATCCACCATACCTAATACTCTACACTAATCAAACTGTAGGATCCCTCCGCATTTCTCTCCATAGGGACTTTGTGGATTTAAACCTATAATTATCAGACTCCTCAAAGTCTACATTCCATGACCTACAAACTCTCCATACAACACTCCCATTCTGGCCATTTGGAAGCCAGACAGCTTCCCCCACTTAGCTAAAGACTTATACCTGCTTAACCAAGTTGCAATTCCTATTGGTCCAGTGGCCTGCCAATTTTCCACCTCTCCATCCCTCATTCCTCCTTCCACCTCTCACCTCTCAGTTCTGGGTCAAGACCTTTTCACATTTATTTAGCCAGAGCCTGACATTCAGATATCTTGGACAGTCCTTCCCTGGGGGTTTCCCTGGAGCCCTCTTTTCTTTGATCATGCTCTTGCTGGTGACCTGGAAAAACTCAACCCTGTTCTAGGCACTCTTATCCAATATGTAAAACACCTCTTTTTTGAACTGCTTCTACAAAACACCTCTAGTGTCCTGCATTTTCTGGCTGACCGGGAATACTTGGGGGATACTTGGTGTTCCTTCCTAAGGTCCAGATAGCATCTCCTACACAGTGAACCTTCTTCTCCCCATCTTCCCATGACATATCTCAAAGCTGCAAAGCTGTAATCGAGGATCTACCCTCTCCAAACCAGTAAATCTTCTGGGCTTAGCAAATGACTTTTGGATGTGGATTTCTAACCTGGAAGTCTTGGCCAAACCTTGTTACCAAGCTACTCATGGTCCTCACAGACCCTCTGGACCCTCCTAACCTAATCCTCAGTCCCCAAGGTCAATAGGGCCCTTCCAACTGAGCGCTATCGCCTTGCCTGCAAGAACAACGCTCAACAACAGGATTCTTCTACAGCTATGTTTATTGCGCGGCTCATTACAGCAAGTTGAGGGAAGACCCCGAGGAGGAAAAAGGGCTCTGCTTATATATGCTCAGAGGAGTCGTGTCCGTTACTGACAGGTGCAGCCCGCAACGCTCGTAACGGTCACCCCATGACGTGGATCGTGCATCTGCGCCTTGCTGGCTTATGGACAGGAAACCGGCGCCATCTTCGGGAATGGCACCAGTGGCTCTCTACATCTCCCCCTTTTTTGTTTTATAAACGCAACATGCAAGGGTAGTGGTCTGATCTCCAGTAATGAGATGGACATTGTAATGACCCTGAATCCTGGTAGTCAGCCAAGTCAGTGCCATACCCATCCGGCATCTTTTCCCTGGAGGTAGGGCCTTGGACACCAACCCACATGCAACCAGACTTGCCCTTCTCAGAGATGCTCATGGCCAGAGTCAACCCGGAGTGCAGTGCTAAGCCAAACAACCTGAGCGTGAAGAATTTATTACAGTAGGCTAAACTAAAGAAGCACCTGTCTGCGTGCAATGGGAAAAAAACCCGCAGAACCTTAGGGCTGTTTCTGGTAAAAAAAAAAAAAATGGACACCCTAACCTGGTGCAATGTCATAGAAGACTCAGGGTGCAAGGGCTGTCCTATTGGACAATTAATGTCCATTTTTTAACATGCTTAGCCACACAGTGGGAGAGGAGCCTATCTCCATAGCAGCTAGGGCTTGAGCGATAACCACTTTGTCGCGTGTCTGTTGAGCACGTAGCTTACACACCAACCAGAGCAGGAGCACCACCCCACCACATAACAGCAGGCCAAACCCCATTACACCCGCCCACTCCTTAAAATGGGAAAAAGCAGTGGAGATCCAGGAGAACGATCCTTCTGATAGAGAGGCGTCCACACGGGAATTCACATGGACAATGGCCATTCGAAGTTGGTCCATCAGGCTATCAAATTCTCCTGTCCATTCACCTAAAAGGTACTGAAAAAGTTGTTTAGAAAGGTTTTCAGCTCTTGTATAATTTTCATATTGTACACTGGTGACACATAAACTGGAATATTTCCATTGACAGCCCAGTTGGGCTAGCTGCCAGAGTGTGTCAGTTTGTTCCTGCACCAAATCAATTCTCTGACTACCATCAATCCTCCTTTTAATCGTGAATCAATGGAGGCCTGTGATTGGCTAAGATCATGCCATATGGCTTTCCATTCCAAATATTGCCCCATAGTGAGGCATGCTTTTGTGACAAACATCCAGTCTGCAGGGGTCATAGCCATAGCAGACAGTCTCTCTACTTGTGAGGAGGTGTAGTTAGCATTAATATCATAAGCACGGACAGATTCAGCCAATTCCTTAACCTGCTTATGTTCCAAAGGTTGATGAGTACGATTTCCATCCTCCTAAAAAACAGGAAACATCTGAGTTAACTGCCCTGTTGAAAAAAAAAAAAAAAAAGAAATCCTTTTCCCCAGTAACTTGTCCTTGAACTTAAATTTTGGAGTCAAAGCATTTTTAAAATATATAAATTGAATTAATCCCTCAACATTTCCTTTAACAGTTGTTTCTACAGCAGTCAAACAATACAAAGACAATATAATACCGTACAGTATCCAGATTCTCTCCATCTGTGGCTTTTTTATTATTCTGTGTCTTTTCTATTTTATTTATTTATTTATTTTTTGATCAGTCTCTGGGGCTCTTTCACTTTCTCTTTGCTAGCCTTTTTCTTTTTGCATGCACCCAACTTTTCGTCACATTCTGCTTCTGACATGCTTTCCTGATAGCATGTCTATCAGAACTTACCTTATTTTGTTACCTGTCTGCCACAATTCTGAATCCTCTCCAGCTGACTGAAGGGTCCCCCTTGTGCCGCTGGTGTCAGGTTCCCGGGTTTCGGCACCACTTGTTGAGCGCTATCGCCTTGCCTGCAAGAACGACGCTCAACAACAGGATTCTTCTATAGCTATGTTTATAGCTATGCTCATTAAGCACTCTTCCTGCTGAGCTTTATCTTTTCAGCCAGTTTTGCTCTTTTTTTTTTTTTTTTTTTTTTTTTTTTTTTTTTGGACAGGGTCTCTCTATGTAGTCCTGCCTATTCTGGAGTCCTGGAACTCACTCTGTAGACCAAGGCTGGCCTCAAACTCACAGAGATCCGCCTGCCTCTGCCTTCTTGAGTGCTGGGATCAAAGGTGTGCCACACCACCTCTGCCATATGCTGTTCTGCCCTATCTTAATTTTCTTTTCTTCTATTATTTAGGGGGTTTCATTTGTTCTTTTTTTCCCTGGGCTTTAAGGTGACCATTAAGTCATTGGAGATTTATCTGTCTTGAAAAACAAAAAAACAAACAAAAAAGCCCTTTGCAAAGCTGCAGATAGTCAGTTTGCCAGAGACTGGCTCCCCTGCAGCTGGAAAGGCTAAAAATCATCCTAGACTGTGAGCCCAACACCTGATACCACAGTCCTCATATTGGGCTGTTCTCACAATCAGTATACATTGACTTTCTTTACTCTGGTTCACTATTTTTGCTTTGAAATTTGTATCTTCAGGTATTAAGACAATGATGTCTGCTTGTTTCCTAGATCCAGTTCACGTGGAACTATGTAGACTAGACATCTAGGAACCAGAGATCCATCTGTCTTCTCTTGAGTGCTGAAGGCACACGGCACCATTCCTCCCTAGATGTGTATTAATCCCATGAAGTTCACATTTGAAATCAATCATCCCAGTCTCACTGGGTAGAACAGGCTGGCCCTCAAATTCATGGCAATCCTCCTTCCTCACCCCTCTGACTGTGGGGTTAATTATGTGCTATCATGCTCCACTTCAAAATGAAAAGTAGTTTTGAAGTAGAATAAGGTAAAAAGGCCAATTATTAGATACTGATTTGTTGATTTATTTAGGGTTTACTGTTTGTACTGCTTATTTGCGGAGCATGACCTTACTTGCTAATGATGAGAATGACCTGCTGAAACAATAGGTTATTCCTAACAACCTGTTGACTGCCTCTACTCTTAGGTAAGATTTTGCTTGCCTGCCTGCCCCGCCGTGTGCTTTTGGAGTATAAAGTGAATATACAAACTGTATGGATCTGGGACTGAAACCTTTCCAGAGAAGTCCTGGCTTAGGTTTACCGGGATACCTCCATCTCTTCCTCTCTCATTGGTATTGAAGTGCTTATTGTAAAGGACTTCCTCAACAATTTTATTGAGTTGCATGGGGTGGTGCATACCGGTAATCAATCCCAGCACTTAGGAGGCTTAGACAGGAGGATTCATGTCTGAGGCTGGTCAGTGCTGCATAGTGAAACTCTTATCTTTAAATACTGAAGTACCAAGCACCAGGAAGGTAAGTTTTATTGTGGACTTCCCGAGTTCTGGTAGGCCAATTACCATCGAACTGGAGGCCCTTTCCTCCTGGGAAAACGTGAAAGTAGGTTACATTACTAAGGGGCAAAATTAACATGGGAAAGTAGAATGGGAAACCCTGGGCCAGTCAGGGGATCGAACATCAGCTATGATCTGTTTTATTTTTTCTTTTTCTTTCTTTTTTTTTTTTTTTTTTTTTTTTTTGGCTTTTCTCCTCCCCCTCCCCCCCCCAGCCCTGGTTTTTCGAGACAGGGCTTCTCAGTGGCTTTGGAGGCTGTCCTGGAACTAGCTCTCATAGCCCAGGCTGGCCTTGAACATACAGAAATCCGCCTGCCTCTGCCTCCCGAGTGCTGGGATTAAAAGTGTGCGCCACCAACGTCCGCCTCTTTTTTGATTTTTCGAAATAGGACTTCCCTATGTAACAGCCCTGGCTGTCCTGGAACTCGTATTTTAGACCAGGCTGCCCCCGAACTCACTGAGATTTGCTTGCCTCTAACTCCCACATGCTGGGATTAAAGGTGTGCACCACCACTGCCCAGATTGTTTTACCCTTTCTGACCGCTAGAGCTTAAAGGAAGCCGAAGAGCGGAAGTAAAACACCTGCCTTGCGGCGCCGGGCCAACTATACTCAGCAGTCCCTGCAAATCCCTGCTGCTGATGCAGGAAAATGAGCACACCTGGCCTCTAGAAGCAGGCGCCTCTAGCCACGCCCTTCGCACGAGGCGTAGGCGGAGCTTCTGGCGGAAGGGCAAGAAAGGAGGAGGAGGTGACGCGGAAAGCGGGCGCCGGTTTCTCGCAGCGGCTGGGAGGAAGCTCGGCAGCTCCGCCGGCCGCGAGCAGGCCGGAGTCCCGGTCGCTGGCCGGGCTTCTCCGGGTGTGGGCGTGGGCGAGGCAGCGGTCCCGGCCGCTGCAGCGTTCGTCCAGCCAGCGCGTTAGGTGCCAGGAGCAAAGAACGTAGGTAAGCGAAGCGGGACAGCCCAGACGTCCGCAGCGCTGCTGACCAGCCCTTCCCCACGCCAGCTCAGCGCCGCCCGAGGCCCGCACGCTTCCCCACGGCCGCGCTGCAGGCCGCCTAGTGGGCGCTGGTCTCCGGGGACCACGGCCCTCTTCCTGCTCTGCAGCACGAGCCTTGAGATCCAGACAGCCAGAAAACCCGCTCCCCGGGCCGCTCCTTCTGAAGCCAGGGGAAGCTTTGCCTGAAGATTAGCTGTCAGGCTCCCAGCTCCTGCCGAATCGGAAGTCGAGGGGTTTGAGTTGATCGGACAGCTTTGCTTGCTCCTTGCTTTGCTTCCTTCCCTCCGTGCTTTTATGCTTGGTACTCTTGGACTTTAGGTTGGTGGAAGGCTACTTTTTTATTCTACCTGTGCTGGGCATTATTAACCCACTGTGGGGCCATTCTGTTTGGGGAAGTGGGATGCAGAAAGGTCATGGGAGTTTGTACTTAAGAGTCCGGAGAAGCTGAATTAAAGCGCTAGCTTGCCATTTGATACTGTTTTTTAATTCACCGCCTGAATGTAAGCATTTTCTTACACCTATACAAATTACTTGGAATAACTGAATGAAAAATTTCGAGGCTCTGGTTAAACGTTATTTAAGAATATTCAGGACGCATGGTACATGATACATGTCCTAATTATGCTTTTGCCTTTTGTCCAGATTAAGCTTAGTATAAAAGAAGGGTGCCAGGAGATACACCAGGATCTTGTGTGGTTGGAACTTAATTGCAGTCTGAGCTGTGAGTGTGCAGCATCCAAGAAACCTAGTCACTCAGATGTCTTGTGCTTATCGGTAAAACACTGGTATAAGAAGGATAACTCATCAGGTTCTCTCATGAGATAGCATTTGTGCACCAGGCCTTTAGAAAAGGCCTGGGAGATGCTTGATTTATTTTTCATTACATTTAGGAGTCCTTTGCACCTTTATCTCAGATTCCCCATACTCTGCTCCTAAAATATTTCATGTGCTGCTCAGGTTGGAAGGCATTTTGTTGTGTAGATTGTGCTCGCCTTGAGCTTGCAGCGGTCTCCCGGCTCAGTCTCCCAAATGTTGGGATTACAAGTCCAATTTGTACACCTTTTCTCTTTAGCTCTCACTTCTGCCTCCAACATCTGTTATATTAAAAAATGTATGTATGTGCATCATATGCTTGCCTGATGCCTATGGGGAGCAGAAGGGGGTGTTGGATTACTGGGACTAGTGTTATGAATGGTTTGAGGCACGTGTGGGTGCTGTGAGTACAAGTGCTCTTAAGCACTGAGCCATCTGCCCTGCTTTCCCACTTACGTTTTCATAGTAGCCAGTCTCCTTGTCTGTCTTTGTTTGCCTTTCTCCCCCACCTTTAATTTATATTAGTAGTATTATTATTAGAGGGAACCCAAGACATTGCACATGCTAAGTAAGCACTGAGCTTGGTTCTCCAACCCCTAATTCTCCTGTCTTCTTGATTTACTCCCATAATTTGACATAGCTCTTCTTATCTTGTAGCCCTTTGAGAAAGGTATATGGGAGGTGTATAGTTAAGTCACCTGTCTGAAAACCTTTTTCTGTTTACAGTCATTAGTTCTTATGTGGATCTAAAATCTCTTGTTAAATAATTTTCCCTCAGAACTTAGAAGACATTTCTCCACTGTTTTCTAGTTTCTAGTCACGTGGGGTTAAGGTTGCTTTAGACTGTGTGTGGGTGCTTCCTGGATTGCTTCTGCACTCAATTATTGAGACAAGATCTTTCATTAAATGTGGAACTCACCCATTTGGCTGACATGTTGACCATCAAGTCCTAAGACTTGTCTTCTGTTATTATTGAGGTTTGAGATTATAGGAATGTGTTGTTGTGTTTAACTTATATGGGTCCTGGGGATCCAAAATCAGGTCTTCAAGTTTGTGTAGCAAGCATTTTTCCTGCTGAGGCATTGCCCAGCCTCTACCCTCCACCTTTTCTTTTTCCCTCTCTCCTCTCCTCTCCTCCTCTCTTTTTCCTTTCCCCTCCCTCTCTCCTTCCCTCCCTCCCTTTTTCCCTCCCTCCCTTTCTTTCCTTTCTTTACTCTTTTTCCTCTCTCTCTCTTTCTCTGAGATAGAGTCTAGCTACTTAGCTGATCTTGTGATCTGTCTACCTTAGCCCATTGAGTACTTGGGTTATTGGAGTGTAGCTACTCCTGGCTGAGTCAGTACTTCTTAGAGAGATTGCAGATCTTATTTTTTTCTGTTTCTTTCATTCATTCTGTTTTTGTGTTTGTTTTTCAAGACAAGGTTCTTCTGTGTAACAGTCTTAGTTAGCTGTCCTGGAACTCACTTTGTAGACCAGGCTGGTCTTGAACTCACAGAGAGATCGATCTTACCTGTACCACTCCTGTACCTCCCCCCCCCCCCCCGCTGAGATTAAAGGCATGTGCCACCATGCCCAGCTCATTCTGTTGTTTTTTTTTTTTTTTTTTTGAAATTATGTATAAGGAAGACGTCCCTTCTACCAGTTTTGTTTCCCTTTAAAATTATACAGTGCATAGTGATACATGCCTTTAATCCCAGCACTCCAGAGGCAGAAGCAAGCAATCTCTAGGAGTTCAAGGTCAGTATGATCTAAATAGCAACTTTCAGACCAGCCAAAGATGCATAGTGAAACCCTCTCTATTTCTCTCTTTCATAGAGTATTTGTTATATTCTTGGGTCTAACTATCATGAATTTGGTTACTAGGTAGATAATAGGGGCATCATGAGCCTGGGTATATCTTTCTGACATGGCATTTTTTATTTTTTGAGCCTCTGTGTATGTTGTTCTGGCACTACAGTGACATTTCAGGTTCATATTTTACTTTCTCTGCCCAGTTCTGACTTTTTTTTTTTTTTTAACATTTATTTATTTATTTATTTAGGGGCAGGGTCTCTTGTAGTTCAGGCTGGCCTTCCTATGGGCTATATAACTAGTGATGATGTTGGATTCCTTATGCTCCTGTCTCTGCATTTGAGTGCTGGGATTTCAAGCTGCCATTTCTTTGAGTAGATAAGTATATTTAGAAACCAAAGTCTGGTAGGGTACTCAGTGTTTACTGAATTGTGTTCTACATTTGCCAGTCAAGAAATCAGTGTATGTCCACATCCATACCTATATTTGAAATAAACACTGAGATTCATTGTTTCTCTAGTGGTAGAAAGTATAGCTTTAATTTGCTCAGCTTTGGGATACTGATAATATCAGAATTGACTCTTCTGTGGAAAAGCAGATTTGCTATGCATTTTGCAGTATCTCTATGCACTCTGTCTTTAGCTCTGGAGTATGTAGTCAGAATATTGTTGCTGTTAATTTTTTCCTTTTGTGGTGTGGTTGTATTAGACATTTGGAGTAAAGGGGCTAAGAGATATAGCTCATTGTGGGAACATCTGCTGGGCATTCATGAGGCAGAGAGGAAAAGCACACAAGCCAGGATCATTTAAGGTGTGAAGCTTTAAGTTTGTCCTAAAGCCAGAGCAGCAGAAAAAAGACATATAGAGAACTAGCTCTTCCCTCCTCATTTCTTCTACCTCCCACCTTTGGAACTCATCTTCTTCACCATCTTTTTCGTCTAAGAATGGATTTGTAAATCACTGCATGCTGGTTCCTGAAAGAATGCTTGCCTCAGTGAAGCTTCATTCATCATGTAGATAAAATAGTTTTCTCAACCATGCTTTTGCTGAAGGCATTGGTTGAATATTTGCTATTACAATGTTGCAACAGGTAGGTGGCCTTGTCATTATTATCATAGCTGTGTCTTCTGTTCAAATTGCTTCAAGTATGGTTGCCAGATTGAAAGATAGATACTTTTGTTGTTCTCTTCCAAAATGATTGCGTCAGTGTGGAATTCCATCAGCAAAATTTGAAAATGCCCTTTTCAGTCAGGTGGCAGAGTCAGGAGGATTGCATATTTGAGGTAGACCTGGGTTACAGATACCTTCAAAACAAAGTATCTTTTGACTGGAGAGGTGACCAGCTGTAAAGAAAGTAACTTATCTCCTGAAGGAGAATGTGCTAGTTTTTCTGTGCCAACTAGTGTTGGGACGTTGACACATGTGAGTTAACACTATCTTTGAGCATAGTCCTGGACCATGACCGCTTTCTCCTTCTTTCCTTTATTAGTGATTTCTTAAGAGTAAAGTTGAATAACTTATGTTTAAGCACTATTTAGAAATCTTTGTCCCTTGGAAGTTTGTGGTGGATGCCTTTAATCCCAGCAGGTGGATATCTGTGAGTTCAAGGCCAGCCTGGTATACAGAGGTAGTTCCAGGACAGCTCCAAAACAAGACAGAGAAACCCTGTCTGAAAAAAAAAAAAAAAAAAAAAAAAAAAAAAAAAAGAAGTCTTTGTGATTGCCTCCTTATTTATTTTCTCATTAGGCTATCAAGTTTTTTGTATGTATGTATGTATATATGTATGTATGTATGTATGGTTTTTCAAGACTGGGCTTCTTAAGACAGGGTTTCTGTAGCTTTGGAGGTAGTCCTGGAACTCGAGGCTGGCCTCGAACTCACAGCCTGTCTTTGTCTCCTGTGTGCTGAGATTAAAGGTGTGTGCTACCACTGCCTGACTTTATCTTTTATTTATTAATTTAAGAGTTCATTATGCATTAGGAATATTATTAACACTATATCTTTGTGTGTGCGTGTATGTGTGTGTTTTGTTTGTTTTCTCTGTAGACCAGGGTGGCCTTGAACTCAGATATCTGGTTGCCTCCCCCTCCCAAATGCTGGGATTAAAGGCATGGGCCACTAACACACAGCTCTTTGTTAAGCTTTTTATAGAATTTTTCATTGATAAAATTTTCTAGGCTCTTAATCTTTATGCTGGTTATCAGTATGTTTTTGTTAGTGTGTTAGTTAGGAAGGAACCAGTGTGATGACTAGTTGTTAGAAGAAACTTCTCATCATACTTTGAACAGCTAATGCAGGGACTCAGTGGACTCCAACTTGGAGGAATATCTGTGTGTTGATGTATGGATTTTCTGGAGGATTGCCACAATCTGAGGATGAGTTGAAAAGATGTCTTGTTGACTGTATCACTCTCCTTCAGACTGCCCTCACAGGACATCTGTTTTTCCCTTTCTGAAGAGTAAACTTCTACTCTTGGGGAAGAAAGGGCAAGGTAATTAGGATCTAGTTAGAGTCCCATACATTTCTTTGACGTCAGAATGCACTGAAGAATACTTTTTCCGCCTTTTGGGGAGCATTAAATGTCTGTGATCTTTTCTCCTCATCGGCAGTATGACTAATTGGTGAGGAGTACAAGTTCACAGCACGAATTCCTTTATCTCAGCTTGCTCTGTCTGTACTATGCTTTCTTACTGGCATGGCTCTCCTGACTCATTGTCTCTCTCAGGGTAGGAGGCAGGATCTGGGGTGGAACTTCCTCTTCCTTTTTCAGCTCTGTCCATGTTCCTATAGGTATTTGTTACCTCTAGTTTGGGACCTTTTTGAGGTCATGTAGCTTACTTCATTGCATTGCCTTTTTTGACCTGAGTGTGTTACTCATTCATCTGCTTTTCATTTTTTGAAACAAGGTCTCATTGTGTGTGTCCTTAACTGATCTGGAACTTGCTGTGTAGACCAGGCTGGCCTTGAAGTCATTAGAGATTTGAACTCAGAGATCCTCCAGCCTCTGCTGTGATTAAAGGTGTATTCCACCAAGTGTGACTGTTTCTTTTAGGAATTTTACTGATCTTATCTCCTCTTTTATTATCTTTGTCTTTGGTGCTTTTGCTTGCTCATTCATTCATTCATTCATTCGTTCATTCATTCATTCATGTCAGACAGGGTCTCATTATATAGCACCAAAGTTGGACTTTAATATGTGGTCCTCTTGCTTCTGCTTCTTTCACCTAGTGGGCTTTTGCCTTTTTAAAATCTCTGCAAACCATCATAGCGCTTTCTCTCTCTCTCTCTCTCTCTCTCTCTCTCTCTCTCTCTCTCTCTCTGTGTGTGTGTGTGTGTGTGTGTGTGTGTGTGTGTCTCTCTCTCTCTTTCGTTGTTTGAGACAGAGTTTCTCTGTGTAGCCCTGGCTATCCTAGAACTAGCTCTGCAGACCAGGCTAGCTTTGAACACACACAGATCCTCCTGCCTCTGCGTCTGACCTCTGGGACTTAAGGTGTGTGCTACTACCACCCAATTCCTCCCCCCTCGCTCCTTTTTCTGGTGTTCCACTAAATTTAATTAGAGTTGCTTGCGAGAGCATGGGTGAGGGGTTGAGGTTATTACTTGAGACAGAATAACTTAACCACTGCTATAGTATTGAAGAATAGACCTCCCTCCCCTTATAACCTTTAATTGTGTATAGCTCCTCAGGGCAGAGAGAGTGAGCCCTTCCTCCATCCATAATGGAATGTTGATGGGTCCAGTCTTGTACAGGTCCTAAGTAGATAACCATCACTGCTGTGAGTTCCTGGGTGCAACAGCCATGTCACGTCCAGAAGGCAGCTGTCCATAGTACTTATCTTGCCCTCTTATATTCTTTTCGTTCCTTCTTCCTCTGTGCTCCCTGGGCCTTAGAGCTTAGAGCTGAGCACTAAGAGTCACTTATTTACCACTTTGATCAGTTGAGTCTCTGCATTCATTAACTGTTGCCTGCTGCATACAGAGCTTCTCTGACCTGGCTCAGAGCAGCTCTAATCTATGGATATAGACATAAATAGCTAGAAGGCAGTGTGATACCATGTTCTAGTCAGAGCTCTACTACTTGTAGGGCCTGTCATCCACCAAGTCATAGCCTGTTTTCCTGTGGGCAAGTTACAAATAAGTAGATATAAATCTGAAGTGGTATTTGGTTCCTCTTCCATTACTATCTTCACTTTACTATTGAAAACACAAAATCCAAAGTCACTTAGCTAATGAGAAACAGTGTCGATACAAGAAATTCTGTGGCTTTCAAGTGGCTCAAGTATTAAAAACCCAGAAATTCTCTTCTAAGTCTTTGCCTTATGTGTCCTATTAGAAACTGGCCCAGTGGGCTGAAGATAGGGCTCAGCAGTGAAGAACACTTTTTACTTTTGCAGAGGACTCAGGTTCAATTCCCAGCACCCACATGCTCACAGCCATCCATAATGACAGTTTCAGGGATCCTACAGTCCTCTTCTGACCTCCTCAGGCAGTAGGCCTGTAAGCAGTGCACTTGCATACCTTCAATATAGTACTCAATAAATCACAGAAACAGAAACTGGCATATACTGAGAAGTTTTGGTTGCTTTGCTTTTTGCTTGTATTTTGAGACTGGGTTTCTTTGTGTAGTCCTGGCTATCCTGGAACTAACTCTGTAGACTATGGTGAACTCACAGAGATCTGCCTGCCTCTGCCTCCTGAGTGTTACTCAGGAATTAAAGGCATTTGCTACCACTGCCAGGCAACTTTTGGTTTGGTTTTTGTTGGGTTTTGTTACATAGTGTCACTATACAGCCTTGGCTGACCTAGAACTCACGATGTAGAAGAGGCTGGTCTTGAACTCACAGAGATTGAGATCTACCTGATCTCAGTTCCTTAGTACTGGTATTAAAGGCATGTGTGACCATACCCTGCCAGAAATGATTCTTGAAACATCCCATCAGAAGCAGGTATAGAGAAAATGGGGCCTTGTTAAATGCTTGTGTCTTCTTCCCAGTTCTTGCAGTGGGAACCTTGATCAGGTACAATTTCTTTATGGCTGACAAAAATAAATTGGAGTACTTAATGCTCTTTTTCATTTCTTTGATCTTAACTGCTTTATGTCTTTATGATGTATTTACATTGAAATTTAACTTTTTTCTGTGTAGGTACATCAGTTCTCATTATGCATCAGAAAAATGAAAAAACAGAAGAAAATTCTATGGAAAAAAGGAATTCACTTAGCCTTTACTGAGAAATGGAATACTGGGTTTAGAAGCTTTAAGAAGTTCTATTTTCCTCAAAACGTGTGCTTTCTGAAAGCTAGGCTGGGAAGGCCAGTTGTTTGGGGTCAACAGTTGAAGCATTTCCAGTGTAGTAAGAAGGCTCTTCATATCCAGAAATCATGGATCCAAGATGTGCCACTTTGTGCAAAGGCGAAGTCTGGAGTGGCTACTCACAATGTTAGTACTTTGTATGCCAAAGTGAAAAGAAAGGACACTAAGCATTTCATTTCCTCCTCAAGGAGTCTCCTGAAACTCCAAGCAGATAAGTTACTGTCATCAGCAAAGAACTTGGACCATGAATACTGCAGAGAGAAAAATCTCCTGAAGGCAGTTACTGGCTTGTCAGCAAATACTGTTTTAGGTAAGGCCAGTGGTCACAGACCTAGGACAGACCCACAAGCTTCAGATTTTCCCATGAAGTTCAATGGGGAGAGCCAAAGTCCAGGTGAGAGCCGCAAGATCGAGGTCTTGAACAAACATAGAAAGCGCATTTGTTATGGCTGCTACCAAGGGCTAGAGCACCACAGAAATGGGAAACCCTTGATTCCAAAAAAGTTCCAACTTAACCAACATCGAAGAGTCAAAGTGTCTCTTATGATGTATGAGAAATTATCCATGATTAGATTTCGGTATAGGATTTTCAGATCCCAGCACTTCAGAACGAAAAACAGAGTTTGCAAGCTAAGAAAAGCCCAGCGAAGCTGGGTGCAGAAGGTCACTGGGGACCATCAAGAGAACCTTAGGGATAACACTGAGGGTGGCAATTGCAGCCCAGTCCCTTCCCCAGAACCTAAAGACCCTTGTCGGTGTCAGCCATACTTTTCAGACATGGACGGCAGTGTTGCGGTAAAGGGAAAGAACTCTCAAGTGCCTGATGGCCACAGTAAAGAAAGTCCTTTCTTGGACAAGGAACATAGTTTAGATGAAGCATTCCCTGACCAACAGAATGGCAGTGCCACATATGCCTGGGACCAGTCACCCTCTTCTCCTAAGTGGGAGTGTACAGAGCAAATCCAGGAGGTCCCTCTAACAGAGCATCCTTCTGATAACACGTTCACTTCGGAAACGGAAAGAGCAGTTATGACTCTGAGTCAGGAAGGTGGGGCAGGTGCTGTGAGTGAAGACAGGGTGAGACTGTCAGTGTGTGGGGCACATCAGTCTCTGAGCAGTGTAGACGGGCATGTGTCTGAAGAGCCTCAGAGTGAGAACTTCCAGATGGAGGAGGATGGGTCTCTCAAGCAGAACATCCTGAGTTCTAAGCTGCTGGACCACCCTTACTGTAAAAGTCCACTGGATGCTCCCTTGGTGTGCAGTGAGCTCAGAGAAAGCCAGACGGCAGGCAGCAAGAACAGCCAGAAGGCTTCTCCAGTGGACGATGAGCAGCTCTCAACCTGCCTCTCTGGTATGCTTTGTTCTTTGTTGCCCTCCAACCTCTGGCCCATACTTGCTGTCAGTTACCCTTTCCAGAAGAGTCTTGGTTTACCTCTCACACATGGCTTTCCCTTTAAACATCAGACGCTGCTCCATTATGGAGATGTTGCTTAGCTTACTTCTCAGTTTGTATTGATTTTGCTGTAAGGGTTCAATGAATTCTCTTGAACACAATTGTCTCTATAAGTTAAATTGCCATTCAAATTGCTGGTAAAAGAATATTGATACTTAAACATTTTAAAAGGATGGCCAAATTACCTTTTAAACTTGTTTCACAAGTCAGTCTTACAGACTACAGATGAAAATTTTATAAGATTGGGTGTTTTTGTTTTTAGACAGAATCTTAGGTAGCGTAGTTTGACCTCAAACTTGCCATGTAGTCAAGGATGGCAGTGAACTTGTGATCCTCTTAGGTGCTGGAATTACAGGTATGTTATCACCATACATAATTTATGTGGGACTATGGATTGAATTCAGGGCCTCAAGCATGCTAGGCAGACATTCTGTCAGTTGAGCTCTGTTCCTAGCCCTGATGACTTTTTTGTGTGTTTGACTGCATTTTATTGTATGTAGTTTTTCCTTACCTAGTTTTCCTTTGGATTGTGTTTTGATTTCTGTGAACATAGCATCAAGCAGAAGATGTTATGAAGATGCTAAATTAATTGTAATTATCAAGAATTGTCACTCCCAAATATAACATTCTTTAATACCACAACATTGTTTATGTTGCTTTAACAGAGATTTTAGTTTTTGTTGTTGCTTCTGCCTCTGCCTCCCAAGTGCTGGGACTAAAAGATGTGTGCCACCAGGCCTATAATGTATCGATTATATGCAATCCCTACTTTATCTCCCTAGTGCCCCCAACACATCCCCCTCTTTCTTCTTGTTCCCTCCATACATCCCCACTGAGTCCTAATTGCACAGTGCTGCCTGTTAGGATGTTGACTGATTTTGTTGGCCTAATCTTGTGCTGGTAACCACAGCTGCAGAAAGCTCACAAGAGCAATGGGCATGACGTGTCCAGAGGACACCCACTCTGTCCCTGAGCATTATAGGAGTTGCCATAGATGTCCTAGGTACAGCTGACTGAGCACTGATTAGTCACTTATTTTCAGCATTTTTGCCCCCTTCAAAACAGGGTTTCTGTGTAGCTCTGACTGGCCTGGAACCCAGGCATCCACCTGCCTCTGCCTCCTGAGTGTTGGGATTAAAGGCATGCACCATCACAGCCCTGCCTAGTCTCAGAATTTGGACCAGTTACAGGTCTCTGCATTAAACACTGTCTACTGCAAAAAAGAATCTTTTCTGGTAGAGGTTACTAATCTCTGGTTCTGAACATAAGTATTTAGACGGCAGTTTGACAGTTGTCCATTTAGCAAAAATCAAAACATACAGTAAGTAGTAGGCTCCCCACTAAGCCTGAAACCTCCCAATCCATGGGATTTTGCCCAGGTTTTCAGTATTAGGGATGAATTCCTTCCTGTGGAGCAGGTCTCAGATCCAGCCAGAAAGTTGTTGGTTACATCATAGTCTTCATGCCAGTATTTCACTAGTGGGTACATCTTGCTTGGCCTGTTAGTATTGGAGCTTTCAGGGTCCAGGGTCAAGTGCTGGTAAAACCACTGATGCCTTTTCTTCCCCTGCAGCCTGCACAGCACTCTGAAAGCTAGCCAGTAGGAGGAAGTTGTCAGTTCAGTTCTAGCCTAACTTCTCTGTAAGAAGATAGTTTTTTTTGGGGGGGGGTATAAATCAAGATTGTAGAACCTAAAATTTAATTTTTGTTGTTTGGGACACCACCACCCCCATTTTTCTTTGGGGTATAATTATTATTATTATTTTTTTTTTGTGGTTTTCATTTAAAATATATACTCTTGGTGCTGGAGAAGTAGTTGTGTGGTTAACAGTCCTGGCTTATCATGCAGAGACCCAGGGTCTAGTCCTAGCACCCACATGATGGCTTGTAACCATCTGTAACTCTTTTTCCAGGGGATCTGACACACTCTTCTGGCATCCTTGGGCATCAGGTACACATGTGGTGCACAGACTTATACAGACAAAACACCCCATACATATGAAATAATAAGAATAAAAAATGTTAAAACATTATATGCTTTATTCTTAGAACCTCCAATAGACTTAGGTGGATAATCAGGTAATGATTTTAAAAAGCCTAGGGCTGAGCTGGGGAGATGATGGTTCAGTTGGTAAAGGCACTTGCTGCCAAGCCTGGTGCCTTGAGAACCATCTCCCTTATGTCCTTTGACCTCTATGTGTGTGCCTGTGGCAGGTGTGCCTCACTGTACACACACAAACACAATGAATATAATAAAAATAAAGGGCTGGGGGTACAATTTTGTGGTTTGTCTAGTATGTTTGGGGTACTGAGTTGGGTTTCCAGCATTGCAAAAAGTTGGTAGCCATTCTGGTGGGAGGTTAACAGGAGTCAAAACAGGGTTTTCATCTTTGTTTCCCTGTGCAGAAGAGTCCTTTTCATTCTGAATCGACGGCCTAGCAGAAGGAGCTGGTTATGGCTTTCCCATCATAGTGCAGATTTAATTGTCAGCCCAGCAGGCTGTTGCTCTTCCTTTTCAGCATCATCCCCAAAATCGTGTTTCCACCTTTATGAGCCCCTAAGCCTCCTCAGTGTCTTTGTTACCTGTTCACAAGTAATGTCAGGGTTTTATTTCCTGGGGACTTTGTTCAGTGGTCATCATCATTGAAACCATTAAAAGAATATATATATGAATTGACTGAAAGATGGACTTACAGGCTGGCTGAAAGGTCCTTTTGAAATTGTTTCCTTGCTGTAGGTGTAGCTCTATTGGGAGAACTCATGCCACAGCTAAATAAATAAATGTTTTTTTTAAAAATTCTGTTTTAAAACAGGTCTCTCTAGAGCTAGGCCTGGTCTATAATCCCAGTTGCTATGGAGGTTGAGCTGGGAGGGTCTTATGCCAGCCTAGACAATACAGGAAAGGCCTTGCTCATTGCTCCTCTCAAGCATCCCTCACAGGGCTATTCGGTGTCCTGAGTAGTTAATAGGCTTGCCCTTTGAAGACAGGGTCTCACCATATGGTCTGGAATTTGCTTTTTGGATGAAGCTGCCCTCAGACTTGCCATGATCCTTGTACCTTGGCCTCCTGAGTACTGGGGTTACAGGCACATGCCATTGAGACGGATTCAGTGTTGTATTAAAATTATCAAATAGAAATAATACAGTGATGATGGGCTGGGGAGATGGCTCAGAGGTCAAGAGCACTGGCTGCTCTTCCAGAGGTTCTGAGTTCAATTCCCAGCAACCACATGGTGGCTTACAACCATATATAATGAGATCTGGTACTCTCTTCTGGCATGCAGGTTTACACACAGGCAGAATACTGTATACATAAATCTTAAAAAAAAAAAAAAAAAAAAAAAAAAAGACTGAAATGATACAGTGATGCCAATCTTATCAATTTTAAAGTTTGTTTTTTTTTTTAAATTACTCCTTTAACTACTTGGGGGGGGGGACCAGATGATTAGCTCTCATTCTATCTCTATGCCTTCCCCTTCCTGTCTAAGAGAACGTCTTGCTATGTTACCCTGATATCTTCGTCACAGTTCTATTACTCTGAACTGAGACCATGACCAAGGTAACTTGTAAAAGAAAGTATTTAGCAGGGCAGTGGTGGCACATACCTTTGATCCCAGTACTTGGGAGGCAAAGACAGGCCAATCTCTGTGAGATCAAGGCCAGCCTAGTATACAGGGTGAGTTGCAGGACATAATCCAAAGCTACAGAGAAAACTGTTTGGGGGGGGGGCAATTTAATAGGGGCTTGCTTAACAGTTTTACAGGTGTAGTTCATTATCATGTTGGGGAACATGGTGGCACTCTGGCAGATATGGTGGTACTGGAAAAGTAGCCAAGAATTCCATCTCCCTGATCGGCAGGCAGTAAGACACTTCAAAACCCATCCCTAGGAGCCGGCATTGGTGATGCATGCCTTTAATTCCAGCAATTGGGAGGCAGATCTCTAAGTTTGAGGCCAACCTGGTCTACAGAGCTAGTTCCAGGACAGCCTTTAAAGCAATACAGAGAAACTGTCTGGAAAAACAACAACACAACAAAACCAAACAAAAAACCCCACCCCCAATGACACACTTCCTCCAACAAGGCTATACCTCCTAATCCTGTTAACTATATGAGCCGATCGGGACCATTCTTATTCAAATCATACCTTGCTATCCCAGAATTTCTGTGCCCTAGTGCTCTTTGACCTCAGCCTCTCCATAGCTGGAACCATAGGAATGCATCACTGTTCTTGGAAATGTCTTAGTCTTGACTAGCTTCTAAGTGTGTCAATATTTTAAAAATACAGTCTGTGCTGGACATGGTGGCACATACCTGTAACCCTAGCCTGTAAGGAGGCTGATGAGATAAAGATCTATCCTGTTTATGGTTCCTGGCTTCAACCCCCAGCCCCAACTGCTTGCCTAGCTTTTGGCTAAGATCAACGGTGAAATAACAAAAAATCCAATGTGAAATGATAGTTCCGACTTCTCTTTGTGTATTAAAGTGGTAAAGGCCCAGACATCTTTTTTATTTTTATTTATTTATTTATTTTTTTTTTTTTTTAGTGTAACTGTATTTCTATAGATTATGGTTGTATGCTGTAACAGATATGTTCTGTCTTCCATGTTATGAGAACAACTTTGCTGAAAAAAATTTCCCATGTTTTTCTTTTTCCTTTATGTAAGGATTCCTAGATGAGGTTATGAAAAAGTATGGAAGTTTGGTCCCACTCAGTGAAAAAGATGTCCTTGGGAGATTAAAAGATGTCTTTAATGAAGACTTTTCTAATAGGTATGTCAGTAATGTAAAAGTTAAGATAGTTACTTCTGAAAATGACTTTTCCCTTAAGAGAAAAGAAATAGTTGTGTGTTGAAAAAAATACATTTTATTTAAAACTTTTCTTTCAAAATCTGTTTTAGAAAACCATTTATCAATAGAGAAATAACAAACTACCGGGCCAGACATCAAAAGTGCAACTTTCGCATCTTCTACAATAAGCACATGCTGGATATGGATGATCTGGCCACCCTGGATGGTCAGAATTGGTTGAATGACCAGGTTAGTGCATTGTGGGTCTTCAGGGTAGAAACTTGCACAGGGGTTGGCCAATAAAACATATCTTTTGGGTTGGCTTTCCATTTATCTTTAGAAACAAGGCCTCTCTCTAATTCTTAGTGAAGTGACTCAGGTTTTATTACCTTCACTACCAACAACATGTACCTCATACACCTGGGGATGTCCTGAATTGTATAGGACTAATGAGTGGGTTTTAATTTTACAGGTTATTAATATGTATGGTGAGCTGATAATGGATGCAGTCCCAGACAAAGTAAGTGGGCGCTCCCTCTTTACCAGTGTCCTGTGTTATTAATAGTTAAGGTGGTTATTAGGTTTTTGCTTTTAAACAGTATATAATTATCTGGTATTCTTTAGATTACATGAGTTAGATTATGTCTTGGTTGTGCATTAGAGTCTGCCATATTTTCTATCAGATCATTTTTGCTTAAGTGGAGTGTAGTTGTATACCACCTTTTATCCCAGCAATTTGGGAGGTGGAGGCAGAAGGGTCAGAAGTTCAAGATCATCCTTGGGTTCATAGCAAATTTGAGACCAGCATGGGCTACTTAAGACCTTGTTTCAAAAAAAAAAAAAAAAAAAAAAAAGAAAGAAAGAAAGGAAAAAGAAAAGAAAACAAAACTTTTCAGTGTTTCAAGATAGGGTTTTTCTGTGTAACAGTCCAAGCTGTCCTGGAACTAGCTCTATAGACCACACTGATCTTGAACTCAAAGAGGTCCTCTTGCCTCTGCCTCCTGAGCTCTGGGATCAAAGGTGTGCACCACCACCACTCGACCAAAACAAGACATTTTTGCTTAAGAAAATCCTTCAGTGTCCTGCTGGGCAGTGGTGGTGCATACCTCTCTTGGGGCTAGAGAGATGGTTAAGTGCACTGGTTGCTCTTCCAAGGAAACTGGATTTAATTCCTAGTACCCGCATAGTGGCTTACAACTGTCCATAACTCCAGTTTCAGGAGCTCTGATAGATTTTTTTGACCCCTGGGGGAGGCAGAGGCAGACGATCTTGTCTGAGTCCCAGCACAGCCAGGGTTGTACAAAGAAACCCTGTCTTGAAAAACACAGCACATGATAAATAAATAAATAGATAGATAGATAGATAAACAAACAAATAAATAAAGTTTAAAAAATTAAGCAGAATGGTTCTTTGTATTGTTTTGTATTTTTGTAACAGGGTCTTGCTATAAAGCTCTGGCTGGCCTGGAATTCCCTATTATAGGTCTGCTGGCATTGAACTTAGGCCATCTTCCTGCCCCTGCTGAAATGTTGGGGTTACAGATGTACTCCAATGCACCCAACTCTGTTTTGTTTGTTTTTGAGACACAGTCTTAACTATGTAGACCAGGCTTGCCTTGATTTCAAAGAGATTCACCTGCCTCCCAAGTGCTGGGATCCTAGTGGAGTTTTTTTTTTTTTTTTTTTTTTTTTTTTTTTTTGTTTTGTTTTTGTTTTTTGTTTTTTATTTTTTTGAGACAGTGTTCATTGTGTATCCCAGATTGGCCCTGCAATCCTAATATTTAGAAGGTGGAGACTGGAAGATCAGAAGTTTAAAAAAAAAAAAAAAATCTGGGCCTGGTGATGGTGGTGCACATCTTTACTCCTAGCATTGGGGGAGGGGGACAGGGGGTATGATGGGACAGAGGTAGGTGGATCTCTGAGTTCCAGGCCAGCCTGGTCTACAGAACGAGTTCCAGGATAGCTGGAGCTGCACAGAGAAACCCTGTCTCAAAATGTAAAAAAAAAAAAAAAAGAAAGAAAGAAAGAAAGAAAGAAAGAAAAATTATTTCAATCCCTTTTTGTTCATTTTATGTTTCCAAGCTCTCCAGTCTGTTCTCTCGTGAAGCTGGATCTGGGCCTGGCACAGTGTGACCTGGTTGATTGTGTTTGTGTTGCAGGTCCACTTCTTCAACAGCTTTTTTCATAGACAGCTGGTAACCAAAGGCTATAATGGAGTTAAGAGATGGACTAAAAAGGTACTCTGTTTCCATTTACAGTGAATCTGAAATGGCTAAGCTGCTCTTGGTGGGAGGACCGGGACCTTCCTGTGAGGCTTTAATGTTTGGGGACAGGACACTAGGGTTAGAATGTGCTGTAGGGGAGGAGTGCCAGTCTGGGCGCTCACCAGCATTACTACAGCTTGTTGGCCACCCTGGACAAGACATTTAACTTGTCTGTTGTATGTTGCTGACCGTTGGAATAAGAAGCTAAAAATATCTAAAGTGCTTTCAGTGATTCTGTCACGACTTTCTTTTTTCTTTTTTCCTGGTGGTACTGGGGATGGGCCCGGGCCTTTCGTGTGCTAGGAAGTACTTTTGTCACTTTGTCACTGTCTACAACTCTAACCTTGGTTCTATGAGTGTTACGTAGTTTAGGCTGGTCTCCAACTCCCAACCTTCCTGCTTCAGTCTCCCAAATGTGGGTTACAGGTCTTCACTGTGCCTGCGTGGAAACACTTGAAACCTCTTTATAGTCTATTTTTGGTATTTTGACAGTTACCAATACATTAAAACTCAAATAATAAATACAGAAATAATTTTGTTTTTTGTTTGTTTGTTACAAAAGGTCTCAGATTCATGTAGCTCAAGCTGTTCTGACTCAATATGTAGCTATAGTTGGCCTTGAACTCCTCATGTTACCTCTACCTCCTGAGTACTAGGTAGATGAATGCCACAATGCCTGGCATACTTTTCACTTTTTTTTTTTTTTTTTTTTTTTTTTTTTTTTTTTGTCTGTTTGTTTGTTTTGAGACAGGGTTCCTCTGTTTAGCTTTGGACCTGTCCTGGAACTTGTTCTATAGATTAGGCTGGCCTCAGACTCAGAGATCTGCCTGCCTCTGCCTCCTGAGTGCTGGGATTAAAGGTGTCTGCCACCTCCTCTCGTCCTTTTATTTGTTTGTTTACTTTTCACTTTGTAAGCTGACTGGGAGGATTGGGAAAAATGAAATGGATCTTAGCTGGACTCTGAAAGCCCGTGTGGAGGTAGAAAGACCAGAAGCTTGAGGCTAGTCTGGGCTATGTGAAACTCTATTTTGTTGTTGTTATTTTAAAAAGAAGGCAGGCAAGGTGGCACTTGTCTTTAATTCTAGCACTCAGGAAGTAGATGGAGGCAGGTGGATTTCTGTGAGTTCAGGGCCATTCACCTAATAAAAAGTTCCAGGCCAGCCAAGTTTGTACAGTGAGAGCCTGTCTCAAACCAACCAACAAACCAACCAACCAAAACCAAGAATAACTCCTAAGTCAATGGAAATAAGATATATTTCTTTATTTAGACTTATATCCCAAGCTGGCCTGGAATTCCCTATATAGCTGAGGATGACCTTGATTTCCTGATTCTTCTGCCTCTACCTCAATGTTACCATGACATCTGCTTTGTGTTCTGCTGGGGATAGAATCCAGGACTTTGTGGATTTGAGGCAAACACTTGACCAAGTGAGCCATATCCCTGGACTTGAAAATAATTTTATATCAAGTACAGTATCTGAAGTACACAAATCTGAGATAGAATTCATATGCCAAGCTGGGCAGTGGTGGTGCATGCCTTTAATCCCAGTACTTGGGAGGCAGAGGCAGGCAGATCTCTGAGAGTTCAAGACCAGCCTGGTCTACAAGAGCTAGTTCCAGGACAGCCTGACTGGTGACTGAATTAGCTGTAACTTGAGTATATTTGCTTAATTATTCTGAAAGCGGAACAAGGACACCTGTGGTATCTACTTGTTGGGAGAATAAATGAGATATTTAGCAAACCACTAAATACACAGTAAAATGCTACTTGTCATGGTTTACATTCAAACTCTCCAAATGTTCATTTCAATTTTTTGATGTTCCAATCACTAGGTCTTTATTTTAAAGAAACCAGGAAAAAGATTTTTAAAAAGATGATTATAAGATTGCTAATTTTAGTAAAACTAAAAATTTAAATAAATTGATACCCCAGCTATTGGTAAACCTTATGGTTTTTAGTCACTATTTCTTATAGTAAATACACACACACACACACACTTTTGTTTGTTGTGTTTTTCCAAACAGGGTTTCTCTGTGCACTGGAACTCATTCTGTAGACTAGGCTGGCCTTGAACTCCCAACTGCTGAGATTAAGCGTTTGCCACTCCCAACACTGGGCAGTAAATATATTTAAACTGATAAAATGTTAACAAAGCCAGAAATTAAAGACATGCTATTAATTCTTAAAGGGTTTTAATTTTACTATTATTTTTAATGGAGCTGGAGAGAAGGCTGCGTGGTCAAGAACACTGGCTGCTCTTGCAAGAGGACCTAGGTTTGGTTCCCGACATTCACATGATGGCTTACAACCATCTGTAGCTCCAGTTCCCTGGGGATCTAGCATCCTCTTTTGCCTCTGGGCACCAGACATTGATGTAGTATACTTACATTATGCAGGCAAAACACTCAACACATAAAATAAATCTGTAAAAACAAAGATGCCCCAGAAACAGTGTTAAGGGTGGTTAGGAGCCACCAATGTGGGTGCTGTGCAAAAGCAGTGAGTGCCCCTAGCCGTTGAAACATTGAGTATGTCCCCAACTTCAACATTTTAGCTTCTTTCACAGAAGGCAACAGATCTAGTTGTGCAGTTGATAACTTTGAAAACCAAAGGCCAAAATCATACCTCATTTGTACCTCCTTCTTCAGCCACAGGCTGCAGCTGTGCACACTTGATTTTTGTCTCAAGGACTTCTCACTTCCTGTTTCCTGTGATGTTCTCTCGTCCATGTGCACGCGCATACAGATGGCTCTCTCACTTACTTTCTTTTTTCTCTTCTCCCTCAAACTAGGATCTTTGTGTATAACTTAGGTTGGTCTTGCACTCATCACTCTCTTGGCTCAGCCTCCCCAGTGCTGGGGTGACAGGAGCTATCGCTGCAGTGCCACTCCTGGTTCCTCTTACCCTTTTCTTCTTTTCCCTCCCAGTACATTTCACTACCTGGTGTGTAGAATGTACTCACTGTCCCTTCTCTCCACTGGGGTGAACTCTTCAAGGCAGGCTTTGTTTTATGTAGTAATACCAGAGCACTGAATGACATGAAGGTAGGTACTGGTAAGCACTTGAAATACACTCTAGGTAACTGGGTATGGTGGCCATGCGTCTATAATTCTAACATGCAGAAGGCTGAGGCAAGAGTGTCATAAATTCCTTGCCTGTCAGGATTCCTGGATCATGTCTCAAAAACAAACCAAAAGCAAGACCTATGTGCTTAGTAATGTTTTTTTTTGGTTCTTACCATTGTGGAATTCAAGAAATGCTAAACCAATATTGGTTTTTGGTGTACATTTGGTCTTTAAACATTGAATGAGTTCCCTCACCTTTGGTTTTTGTGCATGTACATGTATGTTGAGGCCGGAGGACAGTCTTGGATATTGTTCTTTTAGGGAGCCATTAACCTTGCCTTTTTGCTGGTTGGTTGGTTTGTTTTTGAGGCAGCCTCTCTGTATAGCTTCAGAACGCCGTATGTAGAGATCCATCTGCTTCTACCTTCCAGTGCTAGGATTAATAAGCATGCTCCTAACCCACCTTGTGTTTTCAGATGCCCTCTTACTGGCCTGGATCTTGCCAAGTAGGCAGAGCTGTTTGGCCAGCATGCTGTAGGGATGTAACTATTTCAGTCTCCCCAGTGATGGAACTTTTAAGTATGTCTTATATATACCCCAGCTTTTTACATGTGGCCTGGGGGTCAATCTTAGTACAAGTACTTTCCCCAGGTGAGGAATGCCAAGTACTTTTCTAGTAGCCATAGATGAGGAAAATAAAGCCTTGCTCTGTCTCATGGCACTTACAAATCAGCCAGTAAATAAAAGCTAATGAGAGAGTTGTTATTGTAGCTTGCCTGTGAAGACTGTGAAAAAGACAGAAGGGGAGTGTCGCTTTGGTTTTTGTTTGTTTTCTTCAGACAGGGTTTCTCTGTGTAGCCTTGGCTGTCCTAGAGTAGCTCTGTAGACCAGGCTGGTCTTACACTCTGCCTGTCTCTGCCTTCTGAGTGATGGGATTAAAGATGTTTCCCACCATGCCTAGCTTTGTTTTTACATTTTAAAATTCATTTTCTATGTGTGTGGATAGTTCATATCACAGGACATGTGCTTTTTTTTGGGGGGGGGGTCACATATAATGCTTGGCTTCCCAAACACTACCATCTTTAAGGTCATTAGGTAGGCATGATTGCTTAGAGATCATTGGCCATGCTCGTAGGAAATATTTGCAAAATAAACATTACTTTGTTAGATGAAAATAAATTATTGTATTCTCTGAATTCTCAAATTAGGGTAACTAAAAAGTATTCCAGCCATATAGATAGTAAATGCTAAGAAATTAACAAAATGATACAAAAATGTATTCTTGAAAATAAATTGACATTTAACTGATGTTCTGAGCAAAGCAAACCTAAATGAAGTAGCAGAGAAAGCTGCCGTGGTAGTACATGCCTTAATTCAAAACCCTCAGCACCCATACTGAGAGGCATGTGGGTCTTTCTGAGTGGGAGGATAGCCTTGTCTACTAGTGCCTCCTGACCTTCCCAGACACCTACACTCACATGCCAACACATATGTTTGTATATACAACACACTCAGACACACAGTAATAAAAATACATTGCTAGTGGGAGATGTCTCTCATTGAGTAAGAGTAAACCTTGTAGACAATAAGTAATCTCAGAAAACTTAATACACAGTAGAATTACATAGGTATATTATTCATAATTATTATACCCCTTAAAGAGAACATGTGGACCAGTGACATGGCTCATGGGAAAGGTGACTACCTCAAAGACTGACAACCTGAATTCAGTCCCTAGAACCCACATTGTAGAAGGAGAGAACTCACTCTTGAAATGGTCTATGACCACACATGACCTGTGACATGCATTGTCCATCCACACATAAATATAAATTTTAAAATGTTTAAAAAACAAAGTCAGACATGATAGAACACATCTTTAATCCCAGCACTGGGGAGGCAGAGGCAGGCAAAGTAAGAGGCCAGCATGGTCTATGTATTGAGTTCCAGGACAGCCAGAGCTATGCAGAGAAACCTTGTCTCAAAAATCAAAAAAAAAAAAAAAAAAAAAAAAAAAAAGAAGAAGAAGAAGAAGACGGTTAAACCTATGTTCCCCTTCATTTCCCATCCAGATTCACAGTATATATGAACCCAAGCTGGCCCTGAACTTGCCACCCATACCAGCTACTTCTATCTATCTTTCTTTCTATCTATCTATCTATCTATTTATGTATTTTGTACCCAAGAGACATTTGTAAGAGCTGATCATATACTTGGATACTAGACAGACAGTTGCAGATACTGTCTGTCTTCTCTTATTATGAATCAAACTGAAAATAAGGACTGAGAACATGGCTCAGCAAACAGAGATCCCTGCTACCAACCCTACCTGAATTTCATCCCTAAGACCCACATCATAGAAGGTCCTCTGACCTCTACATGACATTCCAGAAATAAATAAAATATCATGCAGAGGCATTTTTAAAATGAAAATGTAAAAACTATTAAAGAAAAACTAAAAAGGCAGTGCAGGGAGGTAGCACGTGGCTTCAGATTCAGTAAGAGATTGTCCAGACAATGAGATAGAGATGCAATCGAGGAAAGGTGTGATGTTGACCCTCTGCCCTCATGGTTGAGCCCTTCCTGTGTGTGGACAGACACGCTGTAAAAAGATAACTGAGATTCTCCTGGAGGAACCATAGGATCACACCTGTAATCCTAGCTAAAGGAAGCAGGAGGGTCATAAAGGACTTCATGGTTGTCTTCATTTACACAGTGAGTTCTTCCCAAACACACAAAGAGAAAAAAATTAATGGCCTCAAATCTCATTATCAGGTAGTCACCAAATTCAGTACCAGCAAGATAAGTTAATGAAGGATTTGAACAGGCAGAGAAAGAGGGATCAAAGTAATAACAAAATATGGAAGATAAAATTTTTTGAGACAGGGTTTCTCTGTGTAGCCCTGGCTGTCCTGGAACTCGATTTGTAGACCAAGCTGGCCTCGAATTCACAGAGATGGCCTGCCTCTGCTTCCCAAGCGCTGGGATTGAAGGTGTGCGCCACCACTGCCTGGCTAGAAGATAGGTTTTTAAGTTTTAAAATTGTGTTTCTGTGTGCGTTCTAGTGTGCTTGTTGGTGTGCATGGCTGCATGCCACAGCACACACAGGAAGGTCAAAGGACGACTCCCTGGACTAGGGCCTCTTCTACCTTTAGGATCAGGAACTAGTTGTCAGACACAGCAAGCACCTTGACCTGCTGCTCCATCTTGACGGCCCCAAACTTTCACTTTGAGATAGGAATTTGCAGTTACATAGGCAGGCCTTGCATGTATACTCTAAGCACATGCTACTGTTTGCCCAACTTCCTATTTGTGTTTTAGACAGGGTCTCTTTTCCTGGAACTCTCCTTATAGTAGAGGATAACCTAGAGCAACTCTTGCTGTCTACTTTCAAAATCTGGGAGTACATGATTTGGTGATGCCCAGCTAACTAACTAACCTTTTATAGATGTTTATGGAGTGCCTAGTACTTGTTATCCTTTGGATTTTTAATCACATCAGTTTGTTATGTGTGAGTGCATGGGTACTGACATGGCATGGCTCAGGTATGGAGGTCAGAGGACAGCTTGTGGGAATCAATTCTTTTTCTACAGTGTTGGTTCTAGGTTGAACTCGGATCATCTGCTTGGTGGCAGGTACCTTTACCTGCTGAACCATCCATTGGAAGTTTGAATGGAATAGATTATAAAACACATGTTTTAGGATATAAAGGGCATTTTAGGGATTTTTTTGTTTGTGTGTTCTTTGAGACAGTTTCTCTTTATAGTCCTGTCTGTCCTGGAATTTTCGCTGCTTTCAATCTCCCAAGTGCTGGGATTAAAGGTGTGCACCACCACTGCCCAGCTATGTTAGGGTTTTAAGGATTTATTTGAGCTAAAGGGTGCATAGTATTATCAAACATGTTTTCTCCATTTTAACAATGGAGATGAGACTGCAGGGTTCAAGTATGCTGGAGCACATGTCTAGTCTATGTGTATTCATGTTCTTCTCTCATTCTTTAGAACTGCATACGATAGGTACTGCTGTTTCCTACATGTTACACTTTATGAAATTGGCATAAAAGGGGGCAAATAAAACAGAGCAAAAGGAAAGAACCAGTATTTGAATTTAGGTAGCTTTGCTTGAGGTTGCATGATCTTTACTTTTTACTTTTACTTTTTGTTTTTCCAGACAGTGTTTCTCTGTAGCTTTGGAGACTGTCCTGGAACTCTGTAGGTCAGGCTGGCCTCAAACTCAGAGATCTGTCTGTCTTTGCCTTTCTAGTACTGGAATTAAAGGTGTGTGACAATACCACCCAACTAATTTACTTTTTTAAACTTTTTAGTACTATTAATACTAGCCCTCTTATATGCTAAGCTCCCTAGCACTGTTTTAAAACAACAGAATCCACATCAAGGTGTAAGAAGAGAACCAGCTCCCCATAGTTGTCCTCTGACACATACACATTATACCCCACACTCACACATACGTGACAAGCTAAGTCACCAGTTAACAAAACTAGTTCTTGTAGATTAAGTGAAAAGTAATATTTTTCTATTTGTTATACTTTTGAGTATTTTAACTTAGTAATTATAAACATGGGCTTTAAGATGAGACATAGGTTCAAATTCTGCTTTACCTATTCCCCACTGTATGATATTTAGCAGGTCAAAGGTTAGGTGACCGATATTGTTGGTTCTGTTGTGATAGCTCCCTTTCTTTCTCTCATTAGGTGGATTTGTTTAAAAAGAGCCTTTTGTTGATTCCTATCCACCTGGAAGTCCACTGGTCTCTCATTACTGTGACACTCTCCAATCGAATTATATCATTTTATGATTCCCAAGGCATTCATTTTAAATTTTGTGTAGAGGTAAGTTACTATTCTGCCTATTTTATTTTTAGTCTGTGATTGGCCATGACATGTCATAGCTGTAGCTCCTCCTAGCCGATGAGAGGACAACTGTCTGGGCAAAGCAACTGAGCTGTCAGATCTGTGGCCACCTTGGAGAGTTGTGCCCTAGTTGGATTTAGCATTTTATTTATTTACTTACTTTGTTTTTCCAGACAGGTTTTCAGCCTGCCTCTGCCTCCTGAGTGCTGGGATTAAAGGCGTGTGCCACCAGTGCCCTGTGTCTTTTCTGTTTTTGATTCTAGTTCCCAAATGGAAATTACAGTGGTGTGACATCACACCTTGCAGAGTTCAGCTAATATCAGTAAGAGCGCACAAAGATGCCAGGGAGGGTCACAAAAATCAGCCTTCCTGGGTTTTATATATAATGAAGAACCAGTTAGAAAAGTACACCTGATGCTGGGTGGTGGTGGCATATGACTTTTTCTTTTAATTAATTTTATGTATATGAGTGTTCTATCTGCATGTATATGTTTATTTCAGAAGAAGTTATCAGATCTCACCATAGATGGTTATGAACCACCATGTGATTACTGGGAATTAAGCTCAGGAATAGTACTCTGAGCTAACTCATCACCCAGTGGCGCCAGACTTTAATCCTAGCACTCAGAAGGCAGAGGCAGGAAGTTCTCTTTGAGGCCAGCCTAGTCTATAGAGCGAGTTCCAGGACAGCCAGGGCTACACAGAGAAACCTTGTCTCAGAAAACAACAAGCAGGTTCTACTTTACTAAAGTATTGGAGCCCATCATCTGGGTGTACTGTAATGAGGAGTGTGCAAAGCCTTTAGGGTGAAGAAGTTAATGCTTTAATTAATGGAGGAAGCCTGAGAAACTAGAGAAAGAAGCAAGCAGACTCAGTGTTGGAAAGAGATCAATTTTTTGCAAACTAACTTCTAGCAATTTTCATCTCATCACTTCTCCAAAGGTTTTGTTTTATTTTGTTTAGAGGTCCTGTTATGTAGCCCATGCTGGCATCAAACATATGATCACCTTGCTCTCAACCTCCTATATCCTGGGATTATAAGTATACAACACTGTGTTTGGTGTTGAGATGAGATTTAATATGACCCAGGTTGGCCTTCAGCTTGCTATGGATATCTTTGAACTCCTGGTTCTTTCCTCACCACCCAAGTGCTGAGATGTTACATGTGTGACACCACATCTGGTTTATATGGTGCTGGGAATTGAATCCAGAGCTTTTTGCATGCTAGGCAAGCACTTGTCTGAGCTCCATCCCCAGCCCACTTACAGAAGTTTGAAAGGCCTGCTAAACTGCTTCTAAAATTCACCCTGCAGAAATCATGTGCATGAGCCTGAACTGGAGCAGTGAGGGTTAGTGAGGGACATCTGTTAGGTGTCCAGGCATGTTACTGAAAGCTCTACAATTACAATACTAATTATATTGGCTTAGGCTTGGGCAAGTTCCATGCTTTCACCAATTAATGGAACACATGTATGTTGTGGTTTCTTCTTAACCAGAATATAAGAAAATATTTGCTGACTGAAGCCAGAGAAAAAAACAGACCTGAATTTCTTCAGGGTTGGCAGACTGCTGTTACAAAGGTAAGCGTGAAATAGAAAATTCCAGCATGAGCAGCAGGGACCCAAGTGCGAGTGCTTGCTGGGGGTGAAGAGATCCTCCCGGAGATTGCAGGCAATTCAGAATAATCATCTTAAGGCTAGTTTCCCCAGGATTTGCTGAGAGGAGATGGCATAAATCATGCCATCCTTGGTGTACTTAGTAATCATGTGGTGTTTGATGGAAAACAGAATTTTGGAAGGAGAGGTCGCAATTTACCATGTAGTTGTAATTTCCATGTGATACATATAGACTCAGACATATGCTAAAATGACTGTGTTTAGCCCATAGACAGTAAAGCAACTCTCCATGGAGCAGAGTGCTGAGGCATACATAATCCCTCAACCTGTGTGGCAGCCAGTTCTCTAGGGATAAGAAGCATCTTTATGTACAGACATAAAAACTGGATAATGGAACTATTGTTAGAGGCAGGTCCTGAACTCAGGTCTGTCTAGATTATTGGTCCACTTTTTTGTTTGTTTGTTCTTTTTAATATTTGTTATGTATACATTGTTCTGTCTGTATATAATGCTTGCACACTAGAAGTGGGCACCAGATGTCATTACAGATGGTTGTGAGCCACCATGTGGTTGCTGGGAATTGAACTCAGGACCTCTGGAAAAGCACCCAGTACTCTTAACCTTTGAGCCATCTCTCCAGCCTTTGGCCCAGTTTTATAGGCAAGGTCTTGACAAATGTTGAACCCAAGCCCAAAACATCAAGATTAGTTCGCTTTTGAACTGAGCCAAATACTGAACTTTAAAATTTAGCCATAGTTTTATGTTTCTAGCAACCTACATACTAGTTCACACCAGAAATGAACTTGTAGAATTTTCTTTTATTGTTTAAAATTTGTCTGACTTGACTTACTGATTTATCCATCTAGCTCATCTAGGTATGCTATGTTCCGCCAGAGTCTTTCATATTCCTGCTTTAGATACAGTAACCAGTTTTTTGTTTGTTTGTTTGTTTACTTATTTATTTATTTATTAAGGAACATAAGCCTTCAAAAAATACAACAGAATTGAATAATCTGAGGTGAAAGTTAAGGCTACAAAGAACTTTAGTAGTTTTTGTTTTGTTTTGTTTTCCTTTCATTGCTGTGACAAATGAAGGGAGAAAGGTCTTATTGTGGCTCACAGTCTGAGTATAATGTATCACAGCGGGAGATGCATGGCTGCAGAGGCATACTACAGATGGTTACATTGACTCTACAGCCAGGAAGCACAAAGGGATGGATGCATGCTGGAGTTCCAGCATGTGCTTTCTGATCCACAAGGCCACTTGCTTCCACTGTCATTGAACCAATAGCACTAGTTAGCTGGGTCTTTGAGATGGTTTTTCCCGTTGTCTTTCTCATTTTCCACATTTAAATTGTGGTTGTCACTTAAATCTTTCCTTGTAGCACAGGTCCCCTTATTCAGGAATTTGGCTAGTGGAGATACAGACCGGCTGTCTGACACAGAGAGGAGTTCCCATCTCGTGTTCATTTACCCACAGAAATTTTCTTCTATTTTAGTAACCATCTTATTTTTCTCTTCAGTGTATTCCACAACAGAAAAATGACAGTGACTGTGGGGTCTTTGTGCTCCAGGTAAGTACTGTTTTTACAGTGTGTGAGTTGGTGGTTTTGAGAGAAGAAATGGTAGTCCTATGTGTAGTTTTAAGGCTGGCAACACTTTCCGCTTTGTTGTTGCTGTTTTTGCAGATACAGTCATTAGGAAGAACCGCCTCCCAGGGCCAAGAATGAGTAATGAGTCTTAGTAAGCCGTATCAGAGAAGTACATGTATTTATGGGAAAATAATGTGATATATGAATTCAGAGATTTACAAAAAGACCTTGTACACCTCATGAATGTTTGGGGTTTATAAGGAAAGTCAAGTTGCACTTACTTTTCCCTGTGAGGCCCAACAAACTGCACTTGGCAGACTGGAAGAATGCCCAGCTGTGCACTGCCTGGAAAGCTGACTCATTTGGAAGTCGGTGATTTTCACTGGGCTTTGGGCTATGTGATGCACGCCTTTAGTCTCAGCACTCAGCATCAGATCTCTGTGAGTTCGAGGCCAGCCTGGTCTATAAAGCAAGTTCCAGGACAGCCAGGGCTGTTACACAGAGCAAACCTGTCTCAAAAACAACAAAGTGGTAGATTTCACAAGACCCACAAAGGTTACTCTGCGGTTTTAGACTGTCAGATGTGTCAACAAGGCAGGTGTCTGTGGGACAGAGTAAACTTTTTTTCTTTTTTTTTTTTTTTTTTCCTTTTCTTTTCCTTTTTAATAGTACTGCAAGTGCCTCGCCCTAGAGCAGCCTTTCCAGTTTTCTCAAGAAGACATGCCTCGAGTACGAAAGAGGATCTATAAGGAGCTTTGTGAGTGCCGGCTCCTGGACTGAGACTCGGCAGGGACTCCAAAAGGCTGGCCATGTTGGAGCAGATGGTTTGTTACTTGAATCTCCAAACATTTACTGAATTTTTACAGATATTTCAGATTGGTGGTATTGGGCCACTATTGTTACCTCAAATTTATTTTTGCCCTTCTTCATTTCTCCTGCTATCATGTACTTTTTTAATGTTCAGTTTAGTTTCATTTTAACTTTATGAATTCCATACATCCCTCCCATATTTAATATTTATTATCCAAACGCATGCATGTAGACAGAGCATGCAGTAAAGAGTATTAAAAAAAAGCCTAGTAGATTTGGTGCAGCTTTTGAAACATAGTTAGATGTGAACTGAATACAGGTTTAAAATTTAACCCCAGAACCTAAAAATGCAAGATGTTTTTGATAGAGCGTAGCTCAGAATAGATGTTCCCTATGGCATAAAGGGTAGCTAGGAGTGGTTGTGAAAGCCAGTCATGTTTTACTTACACCAGCAGCACCTTTTACTGTTGTCCCTCAGATGAGTCCCTGAGCATGAGACACTTTCCTTTCAGGTTGAGAGGGGGCTGTTCTGCGTAGGGACACAGCGCTTGCAAGCACTGTGCTGATGTTAAGGCGAGAGAGAGAAAAAAAGTAGCATCCTTGGGGGCCAGGTATCTTAAAGAAAGATTTCTTTCATTTCATTTTGTTTTGTTGAGGCAAGGTTTCACTATGTAGCCCAAGCTGTCCTGGAGCTCACAGTAGCTAGGCTGTCCTCTAACTCAGGCTAATCCTGTCTCTGTCTCCCTAGGGCTGGTAAATAGGTATATACCAATGCACCCTACAGTAAGATTTCCATTTTGGTCTTAAGAATTATAATATGTGGATTAAATATCATAAAGGCTTTTCTTGGATTCCCCCCACCCCCGGGTTTGACTTGTGGGAAGAAAAACAGCACCTATCAAACTCCTGGTTAAATGAGAATTTGGCTTTTCATAGAAGTAATTTTCTAGTTATCACCTCTCTGTTGCCTCCCATGTGCTCCAGGGTATTTAAGATTTACCAAAAATGTTTCTACTTTAAGGTATCTGAAATGCAAACATTCAGCGTAGAAGACAAGTATGAGGTCTTTTGCAGATTGGGTGGGAGAAGAGGGAAGGCAACCCTGAGGTCTCTAGGAGAGCACATGTGGAGTGTTTTTCTCCAGTTCTCTCTAGTGGCTCAGCATCTTTTGACTTATGCAAGAACAGTCTGAATTGTGTACTCAAGAACTGTCCTGTTTAACTCCATCCTCAGGGGGACGGGCTGTAAAGTATACGTGTTCTATGGATCAGGAGGAAAGTGGTAGATCTTGCAGCTTTTAATCTGGCCTTTTGTGACACGTTTTAAAGAAAATAAGATGCTTTTATTAAGCCTAACCAGTTATTTTTTTTTTCTGAAGTGGAGGAAAGAATAAATTTGTGTAGAAAGCTACCAAGTAAAGGGCAGAAGATAACTGCTAAGTTAGGCATGAGCTTTTTGAAAAACAACAAAGGTAAAATGTCAGAACAGGGCTTATTGCTGCAGGGAAGGGTTGAATCAAACGTAGTTTACATGAAGATTCTCTAAACCAGACTCAAGAGTCCTTAGCGTAAAGCCAGGTCAGTATTTCTTGTGCTTCAAGACATAAAGTAGACATACTTTGTTGTCATAGGTAAGGTTGTCACCACTGGAGAAGTTAGGAAGGGGACGATGTCTCTTTTGTTTCTATAGTACTGGAGATTGAACCCAGGGCCCGTTTGTGTGTTAGGCAAGTGCTGCCACTGAGCTACAACCCTCTTTGTACTTTTGTATTTGGAGACAGGGTCTCATGAAGTTCTCTATATTGGTCTTGAATTTACTCTGGCTGAGTCTGGTCTTATTTATAGTTCCCACACCTGAGAAGCTGGAATTACAGGCCAGCACTGCCAGGCCAGACTGCTTGAAGATCTCTTAGGGAAGGGGTTTGGGGAGCAGGGACTCAAGTGTCAGGCTAGCTTCAAACTCATTGTGTAGCTGAAGATGACCTCCAATTCCCAGTTCTCTCCCAGGTACTAGGACTTCAGGTATGTGTCACAATGCAGCTAAAGATGTGGTCTTTAGACTTTGACATAATTACACCAACATGAGCTTCTTCAAAATGTATATGCAAGAGATGAGCATGGGTTTTTGTTGCTGTTCCTGTACTGAAATAGCCAGCAATGAGATGATTGACTCAGGTGTGTCCAACTTTAAAGTCTCAAGTGAGGAAGTATCAGTCTCCCCTTCCCAGTAACAGATCCATCATGGAGAAGTTACAGTTGTGTTCCTTTGAGAATTTTGTCAACCCAAAATTCAACTCAAACTTTCAGTCCTTTTGCCTCAGCCTCCCTGATGTTTGAATTACATGGATGTACTAGCATTTTCAATGCCTGGGAGAATCTGAACATCCAGAGCCCAAGTCCGCACTTCTCCATTCTGAAAAATGGTCATGTCAGCACAGAGGCATTCAGGAATGAATGAACCAGAGACTCAGCCGTCCAGACCCAGTTACTCTTTCCTTCTAGTATGATAGGGCACCTTCGGGTGGGCTGTTCAGCTTGCTTTAGCCTTAAATGCTGGATGTTTTTGAGTATGGTCTAAGTCCATGTCTGTCATTAGTGAGACTTAGTTTCAGAATATGTGGTTGCTTTCTCTTCTTGTGATTACATGTAAACTTCTGTTTAGCTTTCAACTCTTAGATTGCAGAATTTTTTGTCTTGATGTTTGGGGTAATGCTTTATTGTCACTGGCTTGGCACTGAACTGTTGATGCTCACAAAGTAGGCAGACTTTTATGTCACTGGGATGAATGTAAACCCTGCGAAAACTAAAAGTTACTCATATATGATGAGCCTTCAATAAGCTGCCCAGTCCTCATGGCAAACTTATCTGGCTGTAGTTGCTTCTTTCCAGGGCTTTCCTTTTGTTAAATTTCTAGTAATGAATATATATTTAATTCATCTTTTAGTTTTCTTAGTTATCATGAGAATTAACTTTCAGTTGGCTGCTCAAGGAAGAGAAAAGCAGTTGCTGCCAATAATTTCACAGTGCATTCTTGGCTTTGCACTGTATCCTGTTTACCATTGAATATAAATAACATGGTCATCTTGAATTTATGGTTGGAATACACTAGTAATAGACCTAACCGGGGACATAGCCAGTACTTGCCTAATGTGAGTTGTCCCTTTCCTCTGCAGTTGTGTTCAGTGCTTCATCCCTGCAGTCTGAGCGGGTCAGGGTCAGAAACAGTGAGTTAATACTGTACATTAAATACACTCATTATCTGCTCTGATACACTCATTATCTGCTCTGCTTCATTATGTTAAGAGACCCAATTGATCAGCAGTTATACAGCACATACTTCTGCAGTGTGCTAGGCTCTGCCTTCTGGCTGGTAGATATCTAAGATCTGGGGAATAGCATCCAGGGAGTGCTATTGTATTTGGGGTTACAAAATACAGACCTAGACAAGTTGTACACTTGAAAGACTATGATCATGTAAAATTACAGTCAGTACTCAACCCTTCTAGCAAATATTTTTTTGAAAAATAAACTAAATGCCTTTATAAACATGTGTTCTCTTGTGTTGAATAACAGGAATCATTTGGTGGATAATATTTCTTAGTGCCATTCCTGTGGTAACAAGGCTCACTGAAGGACAGTGACCACTATAAGCCTAGCTCTATCTGTTGAGCTGTACACAGCAATAGAAACCCTAAGACAAGAGGTGTAATGAACATTCTCAAGCCCAAGAAACGTTCCCCCTGCCCCCATCTTCTAGAGTATAAGTCTTTCTGCCTTCCTCCTTCAGTGGTTGCTTGCATCTTTTGTTTTCACTGGGACGGGTTACCCAGGCTTCCTTTTCATGTACTGCCATAGTACATTTGTATGAAATGGACATACAAATTCTGTACATTCATTTATTCTGACTCTCCCAAGGTACAGGGGCACCAGAACATGTCCTTTATAGGCAAGGAAATACACAGAATAAATTGGTCTACATTTATTGAAACTTATTACAGAAGATAAAATTCTTCCTGTTTTGGATCATAAGATTATAGAAATCTGAGTTATGCTTTACTACAAAAGAATATAACAAACAGTTCAAACTGCAGTATAAAAGTTTTAATGTGTTTGCAAATGGGCTCCCTAAGTTGTTTCATTACAGTTGTTACAGCTCTAAGAAAACCACACTTATTGCAGCCTCAATAATGTTCTGTCCCACTCTTGAAAAACTTGTGAGAATTAGAAGGTAGCAGATGAAAAGACCCCCCCCCACCATTTTCTTTATATCATGAAAAATCATGTAATGTTAGAACAAAAATGCAAAATTCTCTAGACTTCCTCTGTAGAGCCCTTCACCTTACTATTAGCTACAACAAACATTTCCTGGAGGAGGCTTTGTGTTGTTAGAGACTCCCAGTTTTCAAACTCTTACTGTTGCTCCCTCATGTAGGTATCTACCCACTGTACCCTGTATCTTCCCCTACCTTCTATTTTGAGGCAAACTCAAAAGGTGCCCAGGGTAGCCTTGAACTTTTGACTCTCTTGCTTCAGCTTCCCAAGTAGCTAGGATGGTACTGGCTGAAGCCCTTTTCAAAAGCCCATTCTATTCGTTTTGAAAATGGGAAGAAATGATCTAATGGCCACAATATATATGTCAAGGCAGTGTCTGAACTTAGATTCCATTCCCTACTGACAATGTCTTCCCCTACTTCTTTGGACAGCAGAGGCTCTTTGTATAAAACAGTCCTTGGGGTTTTGGTTTTGGTTTTGTTTTAAGCTGTCACTGAAACATTTATATTTTTTGAGGGATGTGTTTAGTGAACACTCTTCAAGTACTGATGTATAAGCACAGAGGCAAGGAGCATTCCAGGACCAGAGCAGGCTGACTTCTGTACCAATTATATTGAAACATAAAAAGCCAAGCTACTATAAAGACTATAGCAAAACCTCAGTAGTACACATGCAAACTTACAATATTAAAAAAAAAAAAAATCATTTCTGGCCCCATGAAGATTACTAGCCTGCTTGTAATGTCAATTCTGACATTTCCCAGTCTCCTTAAAAGATGTGTGGCATTCAGCAGACAGTTTAATTGACACAGATTCTGTTGCCCAGGAATACAGTTTTTGACCTAGTAACAAAATCAACCTAATGAAACTAGAATTAAAGTCATTCTTTTGGATTCTGTCTTTTAATATTTCAGAGGAAAACCAGAAGTGGCTTCCAGTGCAACAGAGATACTATACTGATCAGACCTTGGTTAATGTTCTCCAACATCATCAACAGAGTGAGCTGTGTACTTGGGGCTTTCACCACTCACTGTTTTTGTGTCTGTTTGCCATAGCCGCCTCTCCCAGCATCATAGTCCTCCCGATACTCATCTCGAACCTTAATTGGAAAAAAACAAAAACACAGCATCTGGAATGTTGATGCAACAAACAATCATGCCAGACACAGCTAAACCTTTTTGGGTGTCCATGAACAAGCAGGGCATAAAAAAGTGAAATTCATTTGAGTGTATTTTCCTTTTGTTCCTAGCACTGTTGCAAAGAGAAAGCCCCTATTATGAGTTCAGTAACACAGAAATGTACAGTATATTTTAAACTCTAAAATCTAAAATTTCCTATCATTGGCTCTGGTGTGCACCCATCTGTGATTTCAACATTCAGGAGGCAGAGACAGGAAGATCTCAAGTTTGATGCCAGTTGGCTACATGGCAAGATCTTGTCTCAGGAAACCACCCCTCCAAACCCATCAACACTAACAAGCACAAGTTCATAAAGGATGACCACACACGGACAGAACACCTGTTCATAACCGGAATCCCAGGCAGACTAGCTCTGATGCCCTTGGAGCATACCTGACCCCCAGACCGTCCACGTCCATACTGCCTGCCCTCCTTAAAGCCTGCATCCCAGTCTGTACGTATGATCCGGTCATCCAGACGAGTTCCGTTTATATACCGCATGGCATTCTCTGCATCTGCTCTCGAATAGTATCTTAAGTGTAAGTATTAAGGAACACCAGCATTTCTTCAAGCAAGAGACAGGGAGGAACACACCTACACAATGCAAGTTGCTAAAAAAAAATTAAAAGTGGAAAAGCTAGTTCAACTTGACTAATTACAAAGACAGTCATTTTGTAAAAGCCAGTTCAAAGCTGGTCCAATAGCACTTGGATATGTAAAGGATAGGTAAAATGACATTTGTCCAGGCCTGTGTCAGTCATGACTTATAATCTCTGCTAATAATTATTTGGTCCATATTTTGATTTGTAAATAGAAAAATATGGTCAATGTAATACTGAACCACAAACTTCTTACATGAGAACAATGATAAAGTTGAACATAATGATTCACGTCCATGGCACTCAAAAACCTGAAGCAGGGGGATTGCTGGGTTTGAGGGCAGCCTAGACTACATACCAAGATTCTGTCTCAAAACAAAAAAAAGTGTCAAAAAAGGGGGGGAAAGGGCTGGAGAGATGGCTCAATGGTTTAGAGCATTTTCTCTTTCAGAGGACCTGGGCTTGAACCACCACCAGAACCTATGTGGTTCACAATCTTAACTCTAGTTCTCAGATCTTATGATTTCAGAGGGTACCATGTGGTGCATAGACATATGTTCAAGCAAAGCACTCACATATAAAATGAATATAAAAATTTAAAGAAGCACCACCACCACTAAAAAAGGAAACTCCTATTCATAAACATGCATAAATACAAACATGCTTATACACATAAATAAATGCTAATTATTGACTTGACCAATTATAACTGGCAGCTGGACTTGCTGGTCTAGATTAGCCTTTACTTGTCTTAAGATAGGGAAACTTCTAGTGAAATTTCAGCACCTGACCCCTAAACAATGCCTAGCAAGCAGTAAGCATTTAATGGTTTGTTTCATGAATGCTTGACAAAGAACAAAACCAATGAGCAATAGTAGGCTTATTTTTGTACCCTTACCATAAATGTTAATCTATGGCTTGCAAGGCAAATGTAAACACTGGTTCTTATGTGCCATTTTATATTTCCCCCTGTTGTCCCTAGGGCACAAAACTTTGGAAATCTGGTTGGTCCTTTATGTTTAGGGGAAGAATGAAGTGTGTGTGTATGGCTCCAAAATCAACACCAAAATTGTGGTGGCATGGGCCTTTATGGTTGGCTGCCTGCTGACTTTAGCTCAGGAATGGAGAGGTAATCTAAACAATATCACAAGATTTTTTTTGGAGATAGGGCTGTCTCAGGCTGCCCTGGAACTCATATAGGCCGACTTAGCTCAAACTCACAGAGATCCCCTGACTCTGCCTTGAGTGCTAGGATTAAAGGTGTATGTCATCACACCTGGCTAGAACTCTTTTTTTTTTTGAGACAGGTTTCCTCTGTGTAGGCCTCACTGTCTGGGAACTCACTAGGTAGACCTGGCTGGCCGTAAACCTAGAGATCCATCTGCCTCTGCCTCCCAGGTGCTGGGACTAAACACTTTTTCTTTTCTTTTTTTAAAGATTTATTTATTTTTATTTATTATGTATCCAATTCTCTGCCTACATGTATGCACAGATCTCATTACAGATGGTTGTGAGCCACTATGTAGTTTCTGGGAATTGAACTCAGGACCTTTGGAAGAATAGTCAGTGCTTTTAATGTCTAAGCCAACTTAAAGATGCATCTGTGAACAAAATTTCTGAACTGAATGTAGTATTAGTTTCGCAGTTTACAGAGTAAGTATGACTCAGAAAGAACTTCAAGAAAAAGGATAGGTATTGTAGTTAGTTAGTGGGGTGTGGTGACACACTTTCAACCCTAACACCAGGAGGCAGGTGGCTAGAGTCCAGAATAGCCTGGCCATATTGAAAGAAAAGCAAAAGGCAGGCACTGGAGCTCTTGCTCCTTCCTGGTTCAGTGGTTCCATTAGATGCCCAAGAAGGATACTCCACAAAACAGAACCCACATGCCGTTTTCTTCATTTTATCCAGACCCATGATGATCTTCTTTATATCACCACTCTTGCTGAAGAGTTCATAAATCTGTTCTTCAGTTGTATAAAAGGAAAGATTTCCAACATATAACGTACAGCTTTTCTTCAGTAATTTTTCTTGTTCTTCATTGTCACCCTAGAGTTTCAAATAGAGACAAAGTTAAACATTACAACCTAACGAGATTTGCTTAGGGCTATAGAGTGCTCTCAGCCAGGAGCAGCACTAGCTGTGCAAGCCTGACAACTGAAGTTCGATTCCTAGAACCCGAGTGAATTGCTGGATGTGGTGGCATCCACTTGTAATTCCAGCATTTCTACAGGAGATGGAGAATCTCCGTGAAGCTTGAAGCCAGCCTTGCCTGGAGGACACAGGACATTACGCATACATAAAATGAACAGACTTGAAAACTAAAATTATGGAGCCTTGGTTAAAGTCATATTCCCAAGTATAATAAAGATGCCCATTCTGATCTGGAAATTAAAGGCTCTCATCATCTGATCCCTAGCACATACTCTTCCTTGCCATAAGAGGTGGCTGTGGGGGTGGATGCAGAGATGGCTTATAGGTTAAGAGTACTGACTATTCCAGGACACTGGCTCCATCCCCATTGCTCATATGGCAGCTTATAACTATAACTCCAGTCCTAGAGGACTCAATGCCCTATTCCAGTTTCTGTGGTTGGATAACAGGCATGCACATGGTACACAAATGTGCATGCAGGTAAACGCTCATACACATAAAATAAAAAAAAATACATATCATTGTTTGGGGGCATTAAAAACTGAACCCAAGATATGACATACTAGGTAAGAACTCTACCAGTCTGGAAGTATTCCCACTCTAAAATACTTAAGATTCAGCCTGCTTTTAGTGGAGAAACAAAGCATGGAACTCCTCCTACACCACACTGCCATAAGCGTGGCATGCCCTTTTTTTGCATGGTCCAAGCCCTCAGCACTGGATCCTTTAATGGCCAAGTTTAAATTCTACACCTTGACAGAACATATCAGAAAAGCCTTTTACCCTTTATAATAAAAGTAAGCCTTGTCAGTACTCCCCTAGCAAAACTGCTAGGTGATTTGCATACTAATGTTTTTTGTGTATGTAAGAGGTTAGTCACTACTAGGAGGACTCTATTATTTTCTTTGTTTTTCGAAACCTGATCTCACCATGTAGCTTTGGCTGCTGTCAAGCTCAGAGACTTGCCTGCTTCAAGGATCCCGAGTGCTGGGATTAGAGGTGTGCACCACCAAGTCCAGTAGCACTCTCTTTCTTCCTTCCTTCCTCCCTCCCTCCCTTCCTTTTTGAGACAGGGTTGCTCAGTATTGCTTTGGAAGCTGTCCTGGAACTCACTCTGTAGACCAGGCTGGCCTTGAACTCACAGAGATCCATCTGCCTCTGCCTCTCAAGTGCTGGGATTAAAGGCATGAGCTACCATGACTAGTAAGACTCACTTTTTTTTTTTTTTTTTAAAGACAGGATGAAGCCAGAGAGATAGAGATAGAGAGAGAGAGAGAGAGAGAGAGAGAGAGAGAGAGAGAGAGAGAGAGCTAGAGATGGGAGTTTAAGCGGTTACCAACCAACATACAACAATCTCTAGGGATAGGATGGTTCACCGTGTCTTAGACATGGTATTTGATTATTTGGGTGATGGGAAAACTCAAGGCCTACATTAGCATGCTAAACAACATCCCCAGCCCAGGTTTGTTTCATTTCTCTGGGACCTTACATTGTAGCCTAGTCTTGAACTTTCAACACCCTGCTTCAGCCTCCTAAAGGTTGTAATACACAGGAACCACCACACTCAGTTAGGTATTTACAAAAAAAAAAAAGGCAGGGAAGTAATCCCTGGGCTTCCTAGCATTCCCACTGGAGAGGACACAAATGCACAGATGTGATTAAACAGGTATACCAACTGACCAGACATTTTTAGCTCACCAGACAATAACCATACGATGGAATCCAGCTGGAGTAGCTGATAAGACTCATGTTCAGGGCATTCACTCAAGAACTCTTCGGTTTTCATCTAGTATTCCTTATGTTGATCCAGTTCCCTTTATTCTGAGAATATGAGTGCATTAATCACCTCTTGATTCTTTGTAGCACAGAGCTAAGGCTTAGCAAGTATTTACTATGTATACAGAAGAGGGCACCAGATCTAATTACATATGGTTGTGGGCTGCCATGTGGTTGCTAGGAATTAAACTTGGGACCTCTGGAAGCCAGTGCTCTTAACCACTGAGCCGTCTCTCCAGCTCTGAAGTTTTCTTTACTTTTTAAGTTATTACATGTGTGCCCACGCGTGTAAGCACGTACAGTGTGACAGCCCTTGGAGACCAGAGGCATCAAATTCCCTGAAACTGGTTATGAGATACTCAGTGTGCTAGGGACTGAACTAGAGTCCTCTGGTAGAGTACTACTACTTCAGCCATCTCTCCAGACCCTTTTGTTGTTGTTTTTGAGACAGGGTTTCATGTAGCTTAGGCTGTATTGAATCTACTATATAACCAAGGATACCATTGAATTTCGGATCCTCCTGCTCTACTTTCCAAGTACTGGGCTTATAAGCACTCACCAGCACTTCAAGTTTATGTACAGCTCAAGATCTACCCAAGGGCTTCATGTATGTATGCATGCTAGGCAAGCATTCTATCTATTGAGCTATGTCTACTTAGCCCAATTAGTTTGTTTTCTTTTTTGAGATAGGACCACATAGCCCAACCTGGCCTCAGACTCCTGATATATTCATGCTACCACCTCCCCCAAATGCCTCAGTGACAGACAGGGGTCATCACACCCATCTCCAAGTTATGCTTTTTTGGTTTGGGTTTATTATTATTTTATGGGTATGGGTGTTTTGCCTGCTTGTATGTCTGTGTACCATGTGGCTAGTGACTTCAGAGCCCAGAACAGGGCATCAGATCCCCTGGGATCAGTTACAGATGGTTGTGAGCCATCATGTGGATACTGGGAACTGAATCCAGGTCCTCCAAAAGAACAGCTTGTGCTAACCTCTAAGACACCTCTCTAGCCTTCCAAGTTACAGTTTTAAAAATGACAAGCAGCTATAGTAATTCTGCCTGCCTCTGGGGAGGCTCAAAGAACTGCAGGTCAGAAAGAACTATATACGGTAGGTCCTAATGTATTCCCATTTTACAACTAAGGTGAAACACAGGAGTTACTTATAGCCACAATTTAAATTTAGTCTTGGTTTGAGCATGGTGGTATACTATTTTAATCACCAGCACTTGGAAGGCAGAAGCAGCTCTGTTGAATTCAAAATCAGTCTGGTTTACATGATGAGTTCCAAGTCTCAAAAGACAAAGTAAAATTCTGGGCTTATTCCCACTGCCACATTGCCTAAAGATCACTGCAGGACTGAATAGGTGAAGTCTATGGAGCAACAGTCACTTGTGTTCAAACAGTTGTTGGTGGTGGTGCACACCTTTAATACCATCCCCTGGGAGGCCAAGACAGGCAGATCTCTGAGTTCGAGGCAGCCTGGGGTACAGAGAAACCCTCAAACAAACAAACAAACAAACAAACAAACAGAAAAGCCCAAACCAAACAAACCCAAGCCATTAGAGAAAATAATCGCTTCAACATTTACTTTTACATGTCCAGGCTGATCTCAAACCTGTGATCTTTCTCCTCTAGTCTCCAGAACAACTAGGAACACAGATGTCCACCACTGCACCTGGCTAGCAGGTTCACTTTGTACTACTTTTCTCAAAGTAGAATCCAAACAGTCTGCAGCTTCAGTGTAACTTAATTTCACACTCAATATAGAACCGACACACTGTATTCAGAAGACACTAGAAAAGGCACAGGCTTTTGCTAAAAGAAGTTAATGATTCCTCTCCTGGTTTTAACCTTGCAGGGTGCTTTAAATTCAAAATAGTTACTCATGTGGAACTGTTCAAAGTAATGACAAGTGAAACTCATTCCAGACACACAGTATACGTTTTCAAGTTAAGCTGATTGAGTTTTTGTTTTGCTTGTTTTTCGAGACAGGGTTTCTCTGTGTATCCAGTGCCTGTACTGGATTTTGCCATGTGATTCATGTGGCTTGTCCATGCCGATGCCTGTTAGACAGCAAAAACTAGACTCAACTTTGAGTCTCCTACTTCTGCCAACTTTGTAGGATTGTCTTACAAAACAAAGGATTGTAGTACTAAACGGCAGTGTCTGGCTGATTATAAAAATAAAAATGGCTATAGTGTCTTGGTATGCCGCCGCAGGGATACCTCCTTCATTACACTTTCCCAAGCAAGACAAGGCCATCAAACAGCCACCACTACCCGAACCTCCCTGCACTGGTACTGGTACACGCACAGCAGTAAGAAAATGTAAAAGCAAGTCTCAGGTTCCCTAGGAGATAAAGTGGCTTCAGTGATATCCAAACACCGCTGGGACCCCATTCGCATTTTAGGACCCCAACAAAACAGAAGACACAATAAGTGGAAGACACAGCAAGACAGCTGCAAACCGTTTCTCAGTATTCGAGCCCACGGCCTGCCCCTCTCGTGGCCCGGCCCGTCTCACCCGGAAGTGCTGGTCCCGGTACTCGCTGAGCTCCACGTAGGAGTCGCTGCGTAGCGCCTTCAGGAGGCCACTGGACATGGTGCAGAGACACGAACCACGACACAGCCACGACGGGAAGGCCTTGGCGGCGGCGGAGGCAGCGGAAACGGAAACGTGTGCGAACTGCTGCAGTGAGTGGTCAGGTCCAATCCTGGTGCGCCTGTGTCGTCATCAGGAGGCGCCGGCTTGTCCGCCGTCGGGCGTGGCCTCTCGGAAGGTGAGTGAGGCGTGCCCCATTCTCGGGCGCTCGGAGAACCATGATTTTCCGGCGGCTGCTGGCAGCCCTGCTGCACAACCCGCAGCTGGTGGAGCGGCTGTCCGAGTCGCGGCCTATCCGGCGGGCGGCACAACTCACGGCCTTCGCGCTGCTGCAGCTGCAACTGCGCGGCCACGGCGCGGTCCGCCGTCTGCGCGCCCTCGCGGATCAGCCCTTAGGCTCCTTAGGTCGCCGCGCCGCCCGGTTCAAAGACACCTTCACCCAGGAACTCCGCCGCGGCCTCCGGGACCGACCAGGCTCACCCCCAGGCCATCAGAAGGGCCCGGGCGCCAACGCATAACCACAGACTGGACTCTCCCGGGCCTAGGTCACGTCCCCCATTCCAGTGATCTACACCGACCTTAGCATTCATGAGTCATCTCTGGCACGATGCACGGCTTCTAATCCTAATCCTGACGCGGATTGTCAACATGCAGATGCCTAAGGTCAAATGGACACGTGCGTGGTAGTCCTGTAACTAGGCAGGACATAAAGACTCCGAAGGCCACCAGAGATAAGAATCTCTACCAAAACATAACTTGACTGAGAACCATGGACAACCAACCAGGAAGCCTGCCTCCTACAAGCGGGACTGAAGCGGGATAAATGCTTCTGCATCTGCCCTGGTGCAGGAGAATACCAGGGGAGATGATGGATGGGGTGACAACCCGAGGTTGCCAAATTCTGATTAAATGTGTAAGCTGATCGATAAGTCTGAAGGATCTTATTATAATAGTTAAGCATCTGTGTTGATAATTGCTGTTGCATTCTTTGTGGTTTGTTACTTAAACCCCATTCGTTTTTGAGCCCAAAGCCGTGTAGAGTGAGGTGAACCCAGGCATGGGACTCCAGGATCTGTGTTCTCTTTGCAGCATTTACTCTGCTCAGGGACTGACTTCTCAATCACAACTAAGCATTAAGACTTATGTTACAGTGGCACATGATGCTTGGTTTCTTCTCCATTTTGAGGATCTGTCTAGGGCACTCACTATGGTCAGCTAACCGGACTGTGACTAGGAAACCCATGCACATAAACTGCCTTGTCATTTTGAGATCCCTAACTCAATTTCTAGACCTCAGTTTAAGCCACTCAGGTAAACTTAGCATGTAGAAGGCTTGACACTATTAGAAAAGCTTTTAGACTGGGTACCAGATTCTGAGCAGTCTGTGTTCTCCCTTTCCACTGGGAAAAGCCAAGAGGGCCTCACAAAAGCGCTGAGAAGGGAGGACATCTGGGTTCTTCATTCTGGGAGAGTGATTTTTTTTTTTTTTTTTTTTTTTTCATCTTGGTGCTGGGGATAGGTCCTACAGTCTTGAGCATGTTAAACAAGCACTGTGCCACTGAGCTACATTACCCGATCCTTTAGACGGTGGCTGGAAAAATTCTACCACTGCTCATGAAAGGAGTAGAAAAGGATAGGAAGGCATTTTCTGGAATGGCTTGTTTTGGTTATCCCTAAATACTTGAGTCCACTGGCACCAAAGTGCCATGAAATATAACAACTACTGCTTCCTGGTTAAAGAGCCTTGCAGAGACATGTTTATCAACCTAGGGGACATGTGCTAGGGCCTCCAGGGCTGACACTGACCTCAGGACCCTCCAATCTGGTGAGATTGGGTGGTATGTTGGCTGAGTGGAAGGGACTTTGTTAAGATCAGTTTGTGAGTAGCTGACTAGGGACTAGAGCTGACTGTGAGCCACCTACTGTCCCTACTTCACACTGTCTTTGTTTAGAAAGCCAGATTGGAAATCAAAGAGTTGTCATGGTAACAAGAAGTCAGGCATTATGGCAAGTTTGGGAGAGGCCACTTAGGAATGTCATCAGCAGTTCATTGTCTTTGATAACCAGGTGCTACTATATATTTTAGACATTACATAGCAATTGGAAGTAAAGGCATAGAAACAGACATGTGCCAGTGGGTATGGCAGGTTTCTTTGGGGACCTTGGCATCGGGACCATGACTGGTCAGATCTTTGGTGTCTAAGGGAAAGGAATGTGGGTCACCCAGAGGAACAACCCGTGGCTATGCCCAGAAGAGACAGCAGTGGGAGTCCTGATCCCCTGTCCCAGCCCAGCAGCCTGTGTGGCGTGGCACCTTCTATGGCGGAATCTTGGGCCATGGCTGCTTTGTCATAACAGGCTTCTCCTCCAGCTCTATGATGTGAAGACTAAGGTGGGTCCTCCAAGCCCCGCTGAGCAGGGAGGACAGGGCTGGAGGGTCCTCCATGGTCAAGTGAGGAAACAAGAGAGTCTCATTCTTGAGAGGGAAACTGCACTTCTCCAGAGCGTGCCTGTTGGTCCCAGGAGTTACTACAAAGAGTCGGCAGAGCTGGGGCCCACCAGCCCATTGGCAGGCTGGTTGTTTGCTGAAGTTGTTCAGGGCTTGGCACAGGACCCAGTCCTCGGCCCCAGCCATGTCCACCACCTCCACAGGCGACCCCAGGCCTGAGAGGTGTAGGAGGTGCTGAGGAGGCATGTAGGTGTGGGTGAAGAGAAGTGTGTAGTGGGTGGTCCTGCCTGGGAGGACAGGTGCATGGACTATGTGCTCCAGGTACTTCAGGCCAGGTACCAAACCTCCCTGATGCAGGCAGCCAAAGATGAGCGCACCGAGGGCATTGAAGAGGACCAGGCTTCCCCTCCAGGGTGTAGGTTGTGTTTGTGGACTGCAAAGCAGGATTAGAGGGACTATGAGGGGAATCAGGAATCTAGCCTCTTGGTGGCTAAAGGCAGATAGCAGGACCAGGGGTGTGAAGTAAAGGAGAAGGAGATAAGACTTAGAACTAGGCAGTAGGCGCTGGTGACCCAGCGCCCTCAAGAAGCCCGTTTGTGCAAATGCACAGAGACAGTTGTGGAGTTGTTGCCATGCAGCTTGCAGGGCATGAGCATGCAATACCCCGAAGAGCAGGAAGCCATTGACTGCCAGGTGAGTGAGCCGTGCATGTGTGCCATGCCTTGCAAGGTTTTGGGGATCCAGGTTATAGTACAAGAAGTTGACAGGTGTAAGAACAAGGCTAGTGGATCTTGAGAGGCTGGAGAAATACCAGCTGTCCGTGGTTATAAACAGCACTGCAGCCAGAACAGCCCCTGGCATCAGCACCAGGGCCTCCTGGATCAAGGCCTTGATGCCAGGTTCCAAGGCTCTATGGATGCCCCAGAGAGAGAGGGGGGCCAAAGCAAAGGCTAGAAAGGTTGGCCGATTGAAGAAGCCAGCAGCCACAATAGCACCAAGAAGGCAGCTGTGCCACCATGGGCCTGGGGGAGGCTTCTTTGATGTGGGACTCCATGCCACATAAGGGGACACCAGCACCAGCAGCCAGGTGAAGAGCAGTCCCTCGATGGTGTTGGAAAAAGTCCTTGTGTAGAAAACCAGGGTGACATAGGACCCAGACAGCAGGCACATGGCATTCCAGCGGTCTGCCCTCCACAGCGGGGCCAGATAGTACATAGCCCAGTCCAGGGCAAAGGAGAGAGTAGTGAGGAGGAGCCGAGGCCCCACCAGCAGCATGTAGCCACTCACCAGACCAGGCCAGGGCCCCAGCTCTTCCCAGAGCCTGAGCAACCAGAAGGTAGAGCCAGAGGTCAGCAGTGGGAAGACCACAGTGCGACAGGAGCTGCTGGGGTAAAATTCCCAGGGCCGTGAAGCCTGCACACCCAGGATGTCCTCTGCAGAGAGAGAGGCAGGGATGAGCCAGTTCCAAGTTTAGGCCTGTGCTGAGACGAGTTCTGGGTTAGCACCAGGATTACAAGGCCCCCTAGTGGACACTCCCAGCACAGCCCCTGGGATTGCACGGGGTGGGTTTTAGCGCTTTGGTAAAGCTACTTGATAGGAGAATCTCTCAGGTGGCCTGTCTTCTCTCCCCAGCTCTTTAACAACAGAGAGCCTCCACCTGGATCAGAGGAGACCGGCAAAGACACAAAGCAGGAAAAGGATTTTATGTGTCCCAGCTGGTTTAAGGATGAGGGGTCTATTAGCAACAATGTGGGTGATCTCCAGAGACAGCAGGAAAGAAGGAACATGTTTCCATAAGTGAAGTGAATAAAATTCTGCCAACAAGAAAGAGCTTGGAAGCCATGCATGGTGGCACATGCCTAGAATTCCAGTACTTGGAGAGGCAGAGGCAGGGGGATCAAGAGTTTAAGGTTATGTGGTGTGTTTGTGGCTAGTCTACACCATGTGAGAGACTTGTCTCAAAAATACAGGAAAAGGAGACTGAATTTTCCAACATACAGTTCAAATCTGTCTGTTGAGCCCTGTGGCAGAGTTAGGTCTCCCATGCCAATGTGTCCTGTCCTCAAGCTGAGTGGGCACACTTGTAACATTTGGAGACTGAGTCAGCAGGACTACTACAAGTTTGAGGCCTTCCTAGGCTACACAGTGAGTTCGAGGGCAGCCTTAGCTGTATAAAGAGAGCTGTCTCAAAGGACAAGAAAAACAAAACAAGCCAAGTGTCTGAACCTTTCTCCTTTAGTCTCTTAGCTGGACACATGGCCAGACATGAAGTCTGTTTTCATAGCTAATGTGGTCATGTGATCATTCTGACCAGAGGGATAGTCAGGTGTGTGGTGACTCGGTACTCAGAATCTTGCTAGGAGCATTGTCATGAGTTTAAGGGCAAGCCTGGGCTTCAGTGTGAGACCATCTTAAAAAGTAAAAAGATTCCTGCCCATTGTGCACAAAATCCTGGCTCCAGTCCCAAGCACAGCAATCCAGGAGCAGTGGCATCTGCCAGTGATCACAGCACTCTAAAAGTGGGGGTCATGGCCATGGTCAGTTCAAAGCCAGCTGGGGCTGCATGAGACCGTGTCTCAAAGAGGGCTAACGGGGCAGAGGTAGGAGGGCCTCGTGGAGTCTGAGGCCATAGTGAGCTCAGGACAGCCAGGGCTTCAGAGACAGACTATATCTAAAATAGGAAATAAGGGCTGGAGACATGGCTCAGTGGTTAAGAGCACTAGCTGCTCTTCCAGAGGACCTGAGTTCAATTCCCAGCATCCACATGGCTCTCAACCGTCTGTAATGGGATCTGATGCTCTCTTCTGGCCTGCAGGCAGATATGCAGAGCACTCATACCTAAAAAAAATATAGCACCAGGATTACTGGTATATGCCTTTAATCCCAGTACTCAGGAGGCAGAGGCAGGTGGATCTCTGTGAGTTCGAGACCACCTGGTCTACAGAGCAAGTTCCAGGACAGGATCCAAAACAACACAGAGAAACTCTGCCTGGAAAAAAAAAACATAAGAAAAAGAAAGAAAAGGAAAAGACTAAACATGGTCTTAAGGGAGGAGGCCCTTCCTCATGAGACTATATACATCTTTCCTTATACCAGGCAAGCTTCCCTAGTCACTGGGAAAGACCGGCTTTGAAGTCATTCTGCTGACAAGTCCATCATTCTGCATGACCTGTTGGTTCAAGCAGGAGAACATGGAAGAGGCCAGTACTTCATTCATGTCCTCCAGAAGCTGAGAAAATGCCCATTCCCCACTCCAAGTTCTAATCCCAGAGACGCTACAACTCTGCCTGTTCATTCACCCACATGCATGTCCTTTCCCACCAGATGTCACTGTGCCCAATCTTCTTAGCAGTACATAGGGGTTTACCTGCCATGACCTCGGGTGACTGGAAGAACTCATCTGGGTGTATGTAGCCAGTCTGGGGAAGGAGACACCACAAGACTCGAAGCAGGCTGAGGCTACCCCAAATCACCCTGGCTGCCATCTTCACAGCAGACTATCAAACACAGGGCTGAAAGCCTGGAGTAATTTCACAGATGTCACGAGTGCCACTCTGGAGATCTATATCTGCTGAGAGTGACATTTGGTAGTTACTGTAACATAGACTTTACCACAACCTGAAGACATCAACATAAAAATGGCAGTGATAAGATGTGATTGGTACTCATCTGGAGTTCCAGCATAGGAGAGGTTGACAGGTTGGCACAAGGATTTCAAGTCCCAGACCAGTCTGGGGTACATGAGAAATACTGTCTCAAAAAACAAAAAAGTGGGTTGGGTGGTGGTGGCACACTCCTTTAATCCCAGTACTCAGGAGGCAGAGGCAGGCTGGTCTCTGTGAGTTCAAGGCCAGCCTGGTCTACAGAGCAAGTGCCAGGACAGACTTCAAAACTACAGATGGTTCGAGATGGTAGTGCACCCAGTAATCCCAGCATTCAGATATGGAAAGATTAGGTGAAAAAAACAAAAACTACTTTACAATTAAATTGAATGTTAGGAGTGGTTAGGAGCACTTATTCTTTCGAAGGACCCAGATTGGATTCCCAGCACCCACATAGTGGTTTAAATCCTATAACCCGAGTCTTAGAAGGTCCAACAACCTCTGTTTTTGTTTTTTCAAGACAGGGTTTCTGTGGCTGTCCTGGAACTCACTCTGTAGACCAGGCTGGGCTCAAACTCACAGAGATCCACCTACCTCTGCCTCCCAAGTCCCGGGATTACAGGTGTATGTCACCACCACTCAGCTTCAACAACTTCTGACCTCCACCATAGGAACATTCAGATAAAACATTCATACACACAAAATAATAAAATAAATGAATCTTTAAGAAAATAAAGTCAGGGTTAAAATGACAAGGTTGGTAAACTGAGGAAGATAAATAAGAGGGCTTGTATGAGGCAGGCCAGCTAGGAAGGACAAGGCTCTACCTAACAGGCTCTGGAGGAATCCCAGAAAGTGCCAACCCCAGAAAGAACCCACCTCCAGGAGAAGGTACAACCCATCATTGTCCTGTCCCTAGTAAACTCTAAGCTCTTGGAATAGATAACCTTTACATATATTCTTCAAGAACCCTTGCCCTTTCCATACTTGGCATCTCAACTTTATGGTCTGTTGTACCTGTATATATATTCCTGAAATTGTGTAAGACTGAATCGTGGGGAAGGAAAGATGGTTTCTGAGAAAACCTCCACCCCTTCCAGGAAGCAGTCTCCCAAGACAGCCCCAGAGATGACAATGGGGGGAGCTGCTGTCTGTCAAGGTGTGCACGTCCCAGTACTAGAGGCAGCCCTTCACTGTGCATTCAGCTGGGCCCACCTTCCACTCTAGAAAGTGAGCTTCTGTCTTGCTTTCTCGCCTGCTGATCCTCACCCTGACTGCTTGCTGTGTGTCCACCTGAGTTCTTTAGAACTGAGGCTGCTGACAGTAGGATTAGAGGGCTTTGAGGGAGCCATCTCTCTGTACCCATAATCCAAGCGTACTGGCTGGTTTTGTGTGTCAACCTGACACAAGCTAGAGTCATCAGAGAGGAAGGAGCCTCAGCTGAGGAAATGCCTCCTTGAGATCCAGCTATAAGGTATTTTCTCATTTAGTGATCAACAGAGGAGAGTACAGCCCATAATGGGTGGTGCCATCCCTGGGTTGTTGGTCCTGGGTTCTATGAGAAAGCTTAGCAAGCCACAGAGAGCAAGCCAGTAAGCAGCACTCCTATATGGCCTCTGCATCAGCTCCTGCCTCCAGGACCCTACCCTGTTTGAGTTCCCATCCTGAATTCTTTCAGTGATGAACAGCAATGCTGAAGTGTAAGCCAAATAAACCCTTTCCTCCCCAATTTTCTTTTTTGTCATGCTGTTCCGTCGCAGCAATAGAACCCTAAGACAGTGGTCAGGACTTCTGTCAGCCCATATAGCAGCAAAGACACAAAGTATTGCAATCCAGTTGTTGCACATAATATAAATGACCCAGAGACTGATATTGGGGTCAAGCTTCAAGCTGAAGATCAGAAAAGCAAAGCAGCCAGGCACTATATCTCACCCTACATCAGACTGAAAGGGAATCCTGGCTCCACCAAACCTCAGAGAGTTAGTTGCCTCTCCTCAATGTGGCTGGAGAATCCTGAGACTTCAATGTTTTCCTCTCCTCAATGTGGCTGGAGAATGAATGCCTGACCCGAGACCTTGCTCCTGTCTTATGTGCCTCTCATAAGTCCTGGGACTGAAGGCCTGAACTCTAACGCTCTTTTAGATGGATTCACTCTAATGTAGCCCTGGGTGGCCTTGAACTAACAGAGAGCCTTTATCTCCTGAGTCTTGGAATTAAAAGTTGCGTGCCACCACCTTCTGATCTCCATAGCTTGTGGCTGACTTTGCTTTCTGAATTCTCAGGCAAGCTTTAAGAAATCATAGATACTATTTGACCACGTCCAGATGAAGAGATGGCTTCAAACATCTCAGTAAAGGAGTGAGCATGACAGGATTGACCAACTGTTACTAGAGATGCTGAACCAAGTAGTGGGAGGGGTGGAGAGGATAGCTCAATGCCTAACATGCTAACGGCCCTGGGAGGAGGAAGAGGAAGTGGGGAGGAGAAACAGGAGAAGGGACAGGAGGAGGAGGAAGAGGAAGAGAACAACAATGGAGGGGCTTCAATCTCACATTCAGGCCTTAAAACAGCCCGGACGTTTCCCTGCCTCTGTCTACTGTACCTGGAAAGCTGAGATGGCTAAAAACCAAGCCCCAAACCTCTTCAGACTGAATCTCCAACTTTGAGGGAGTCATGTGAGAACCACCCCTTTATGACAGGACCTGGTTCTCTTAAAAGAGAAATACATGCAGAAATGGCCAGGAGGAGTGGAAGCTTAGCCTCAGCAGTTAAAGAGTGAGGTACTAATCATTACTATTTTGAGAACTTATAAAGAACAGCATTATAACTGCAATTCATGTAATAAAGGTGGCATACAAATTACTTAGAAACTGGTATACAACTGAAAATGATATTATAGGCATGACAGTACACTCAGCTTATTTCATATTGTTAAGAGCTAATCAGAGGCATTAAATCTCTTACTTTGTAACTGCATGTTTGTTACCGGCTAGGGCACAGTATGAATAAGATGTACCTAGCTAGATCAAACATTTGGCTTGCATTATAATGACATGGGGTAAAGGTCAATGATGAGTGGGGAGTGGGAGTGGGAAGGAAGAGAAGAAACTAAAATGTTAATGATTCTCGGAAAACGACTGAAGAGAAATGATTTGAAACTGCTCATCCTTGAATTATTAGAACTTGTATAAATAAAGACAGCCTGAGCTACTCAGGGCCATTAGTTTGAAAGACAACCAGTAGTCAGACTCTTCATTCTTCCTGACTTCACACACATCCTGTAGCACAAGAACCCTGCTGGAACTGGACTCCAGCAGAGATCCGCCTGCCTCTGCCTCTGGAGTGCTGGAATTAAAGGTGTGAGCCACCACCACCTGGTGGCTTTGTGACATTTGAACACAAATAAAGCACTGTAGCTTTGAATGTAATAGCGCCCATAGTGGTCTGCTAAGCCCACGATCTTCCTATAGAGGATATCCCTCAGCACATCAGCTCTGTGGTACCCTGGGAGTTATTTGAGGAGATGCAGCCAAGAGCTTGGTCATCTCATATGTCCAAAGGCTATATAAGTGACAGTCCCCCAAATTAATCTTCTTTATAATTGAAATGCATAGTTGGCAAACAATATCAGCAACAAGAACTCATGGTCAAGCTGTACTGCCAGGATCTGCTGCTGCTTCGAGCGAGCAATCCTCTGCTTTTTATGTGGCCTTGGGGCTCCTGATGGTGACAAGCTGGCTGGACCAGTTTTAGCCATCCTATACAGACCAGACCACATGGAAAAGTGCCTGCACTAGAGGTTGTCTCAATGCCCCCTCCCTTTTGTTTTGACAGGGTCTCACTATGCAGTACCTACTGGCCTGGAACTCAATATGTAGAAGAGGCTGGTCTTAAAATCAGAGGTTGCTCTGCCTCTGCCTCTGCCTCCCAAGTGCTGGGGTTAAAGGTGTGTGCTACCATGCCCAGAAAGACCATCTCCTTTTTAAAATAGCTTGATTGGGATGTAGTTAATATACCATTCGATCACCCAGGGAAAATGACTTTTAGAATATTCACACAGATGTGACTGCAGTGTACTGGCTGGCTTTGTGTGTCAACTTGACACAAGCTAGAGTCATCAGAGCAAGGAGCCTCCCCTCGGCTGAGGAATGCCTCCTTGAGATCCACCTGTAGGGCATTTTCTCAAATAGTGATCAATGGGGGAGGTCCCAGCCCATTGTGGGTGGGGCCATCCCTGGGCTGGTGGTCCTGGGTTCTTGTGTAAGAAAGCAGTCTGAGCAAGCCATGGGAAGCAAGTCAGTAAGCAACACCCCTCCATGGTCTCTGTATCAGCTCCTGCCTCCAGGTTCTGAGCCTGCTTGAGTTTCTGTTCTGATTTCCTTTGGTAATGACCAGCAATGTGGAAATGTAAGCTGAACAAACACTTTCCTCTAAACTTGCTTTTTGGTCATGCCGTTTCATCACAGCAATAGAAACCCTAAGGCACACAAATTTTAGCTTTATGTGTATTGGTATTTTCCCCACATGTGTGCATCATGTGCCTACAATGCCGTGGAGGCCAGAAGAGGGCATAGATCCCCTGGAGCTGGAGTCCCAGACAGTAGTGAGCTGCCACGTGGCTGCTGGGAACTGAACCCTGGGCCTTTGGAGGAGCAACCAGTGTTCTTAACTGCTGAGCCATCCATCTCTTCATTCCCAAACCACAGTCTTAAATGATGTCTTTTATGTTGTTTTAGAAGATGGTGTTTCACTCTGCTGTCCAGGCTGACTCCTGCTTCAGCTTTCTAACTAGCTGGGACTACAGGCATGCTCTGCTCCCAATTTCATTTATTCTCACAATTTTTAACTGCAACCCCCCCCCCCTTAAAAATGTATGGGTATTTTCCCTGATGTGTGTCTGTGCACCTTGAGCATGCAATGCCCATGGAGGCCAGAAGAGGGTGTAGGATCTCTCACAACTGGAGTTAATGGGGCGTTGTGAGTCACCATGGGAGTGTCAGCTGCACTGTACGTTGGCAGTCCTCTAATCATTTCTTTGTCCCACGGGGTTGGGACTCCCCAGGGGCTGGGACCTCCTGGGATCCAGCTGAGAGCCATCAGGGGCCCCTGCAAGAGCAACAAATAAACATGTTCTCAACCACTGTGCCATCGCTCCAGCTGTGTCAGTCCTGTCTTACGGAGAAACCACCGGCATTTGGCTTTAGTTAGCAGAACCGTTAAAGTGGTGAGTCTAGGACTTGGACTACATCTGTTGACTCCAAAGGCCCTCACGCTCAGCCTGCCAGCTTTCTGGGTCCAACCTTGAGCACAACCAGCTCTACAGTATCTCATCTACCCCAAGCAAGCCCCTCACTCCACCATACCAATTTTGCTTTAGTCATTCCTCTAATGTGGTTCTTTACCCCACTGTCGCTCTCTGAATCGAGGTATGCTACGACCTTGTGCATATAGCCTGGCATTCCTCAGTCCCGCAGAAGGCTATGCAGGACTTTGGATGGCTGAAGCCCTACTGTGTGTCACCTGTAGCTGAACTCAGCCTTCTCCTTCATGGCACAGCACACAGATTTGTGTAAGGAGAGACATTGAAAAGAGCGGAAGCAGACTGCCCCCCTCTTTGCCCCCACTTTCTGCTCCTGCTGTCCTGCCTGTGCCCTCGACCAGATCTCTGTGGGATCCCGTGGAAAGCTCAGGGGCTGGGCACAGTCCAGAGCCTAGATTGTTTCCACCTTCTTTTAGGTGGAATTCGGTGCACAAGCCACACCACTTTTTTTTAACAGCTCCTCTATTCTGAGACATTTCTCAACGCTTTTTTGCTTACTGTTGCAGCATTGCTTGTTACACTGGTAACATGGAACTTAAAAGCAGCTGTGGCATCAAGCAGCATGAGGTTGAAGTCCCTACCCTGTCACTTGCTGATGGTAAAACCTCATTCAGTCTCAAACCCCAATTTATATTTCAGCTGTGAATGACTGCCTACTTTAGCATTGTGGGGGAAAGAGAAAAAGGTAAAATAAGGCAGATGTAACAAGCCATTGATTTCAGCATCCATTTCGCTTCAATTCTGTAAGCCAGCTTGCAAGATAACTGTGTGGAACCCTGCACCCCACCGCAATTCTCCAGTCGCCTGGTCATTTCTTTGTCCTACTGGGCTGAGATTTCCGCAGGGCTAGGTTTACGTGGACTCACCGAGGACATCTGTCAAGAAAAACAGGAGGTCCCCAGGAGGAGGTAGCAAGATGGGTGCATTGACCACAAATGCCAGAATGTCCAGCGGCTCCCGAGGTCAATACCAGGTCTCAGAGGTGCCCTTACGTGGGGTGGGGTGGGCCTGGCAAATCTCACACACCCTGGGTTAGTCTGCTGGTTCACGCATCTAAACACAGGCACACCTGCCCTAAGGTCGGGTCCAAATCCTTTGTTTCCCACAGCCCCCAGGCTGAGCCTCCCAGAGAGCAGGGGACATATTGGGTTAAAGGAACCGCTCCCAGGACATGGAGGTGAGACTGTGGGACTAGAGAGTGGGTGCGATGACCCAGAAGATGGGGAGCCCGACCAGCCCACCAGGTGCAGGCAGTAGGGAGAGACCATGTTGGTGGCAGGGGAACGGCAAGCTGGAACCACAGCGCAGGCACAAGGTGGTGGAGGAAGAGGATGGAGACGAGGGCTGTAGGACCAGAGAAGGGATGAAGCAAGAGACCGCCGGCTGAGTCAGAGGCTTGGGTCCGCTTTCTCTCATGCCACTGTGTGCGCAGCAACCATACCGGCTCTGGGGGCCGCAATTATGTGTGGCTCAGTCCAAGGAAAATCCCTACCTTCAAACTGGGGTTTCTTCCTGACATAGCTGTTGGGTCCTTGCTTATGGGAAGGGTGGAGGTCCTTAGGATGGTCCCTCCTAGATCTAGCATTTGGAGGAATGGGCCCCAGTAGACCAACCAATGCTCCTGTTCCTTCACGGACAAGAACTCGCTCAGTCTTCAGGATCCATGTCCAACATCGAATGAGGATGACTCTCCTAAGCTCAATTTCCTATTGGCTGGCATTTCATTCACCCTCACCTGGCCCTGGCCGAGACTGCACTGAGTTCTGCAGGGGACTATCTTTAAAGCCTCCTCTTTTGGTTGCCAGCCGGAAACTGTTCGTTCTTTGATTGACGTGGAATACAACAGCCTGCTAAACACCTCAGAAAGAGTGGAAGGGAGCTAAGTAGCCCCATACCTGTTTACTATCTACATCCTCGCAGTTCCAGGCCACAGAAAGGGAATTCTGTGTTGTACCAGGAAAATTCAAGGCCCTGACCATCTTGACCGTGCTTCTCAGTGTTTGAGAAAAAGGTATCTGGAGGAGACGCATGACATTTGAGGACAAGGAAAGGATGTCCTCTTCAGAGAAAGCAGCAACTGTTCCTGTCATGGTGACGTGTGTGGCAAAGACGTCTGTGACCATCAACAAGAAAGTTTTGCACTGGCCTACAGGGTCCCCCTTTCCCTTGTCCTTGCCTCCATGGGACTCCTGGGTCCCATTCTCTCAGGGGAAGCAGGCTTGGTTTGGTTTCCCTAGCTAAAATTAGGGGATCTCGGTGCATCTTTCTCCACACTTTGCAGCATTTGTAAGTTTCTGGTCTGCGGAGATCTTGCTGCTGTGTTATAGATGGGGATATGGAGACTCAGAATGAGTGTGGAACCACCTAGGAACCCCCGGCTCCCGGGCAAGTCCGGTAACAGGAGAGTTCGCAAACCTAGGCCTCTCTGGGCCCTAAGCCAGTGCTCTAAAATGGAAAGCACCCTGAGCCTCCCTTCCCAGGAAAATGTCAGTATTAGTCCCCTGTGGTCCCCTAGGTTCCCTGCCTATTAGTGCTCTCAAAGGCTGCCATGCGGTTTGGAGGAAAGCTGCTGGTTCCCTGCTGATCTGTGGGCTGCAAGCAAAGCTAAAGGTGGACCCCGTTGCCTGCCCCATTGCACCCTCACCCCGTCCCCAGCCACTCTTCCCAGGCTGGGACTGACTCACCCACGAGCTGCCTCTGGGCTGCACCTGCTGCGCTGACTACCAGGGTCACCCGGAGCGAGAGCCGGCTCCCGAGGCACTAAGGCCCTGCGCCAGCGGGACAGAGGACTGCAAGGCGGGGTGGGGCAATGGCCTTCCCTCTCCACAGCCGGCTCTGGACTTTCACTAGGGAATTAGGCCAAGAGATCAGGCAGAACTCGCTAGGCGGGGCGGAGGATGGGGACAATTGTGCGTGCCCCCGCCCCCAGTCCCGCAGTCTGCAGTGGTCGCGGTGGGGGCTCCTGAGGAACTGATCCTACTTTGCCTGTGCTGTCAGTGCTTTCTGTCAGCAGCCCCTCCTTGTAAACCTATGCCGGATAAACTTCCTTTTCAGGACTAGCATAGTCACGCCAGAGCGTTTCTATTTTGTTTGCTTGTTTTGAAACAGGGACTCGGTGGTCTCGAACTCGCCATCCTCCTACTCACCCTCCCAGGAGCTGAATTACAGGCATGCGCCACCACGCCAGCTTTCGGACACACACCTTTTGTTATCCAAAACAATCATTCTGTGCTGGGAGTGCTGGGTGGGTGGTGATTGTTTCTCCGTAGTAGAGAGCTAGCCTAGCAAGTGTGAGGCTCTGTGCCCATCTTTAGCCCCAACAAAAGCAAATCCCACTAAACCAAGATGAACACCGCGGAGGTTCTCGTGCCAGAGGCGGCGATCGTCTAAGGGAGTGGGACTGGGGAAGTGGCCCTTCCTCAGATGGTTCCATTTTCCCCCGGATGCTGAGCATTGAAGGCTGTTGCCTGGGGCAGCGCCTTCCATGCTGACACAGGACTAATGCTGTCCCTTTGTGCATGGTACAGACGGGGACAGGCTACTCGCCCAACCACCGGCTGTAGTGCTGTGTCGCAGGAATCATGGCCCCGCCTACGTGGCGGGGCAGGGCGGGGCGCGGCGGGCTTCGGGGCTGCCAGCACCTATGATGATGCCCAATGCAAGAAGGGCTATGCGCAGAACGGAGCCTCGTGATGCAGAGCCCACTCCGCAGGGACGCGTCACAACCCAGTCATACCCCCCCTCCGCAGAAATGCACCACTCGGGAGCCTGTAGCTTCCGGGGGTCCCTCGAATCCCCGCCTCCAGCTGGAGAGGCGTGTGGCTCACCAGCTGTGACATTGCCCCCTGGCGGCAAGATACCTTCCTGAGTATCTCGGGTAACTAAACCGGTAGGGAGAAGGTCAACTCCCACTCTTCCCCGATTTTGTAAGGTCTGGACAGCGTCACCTGCCTTTCACCTTCAGGCTCCACAACAGTGTTCACATTAAAAAGCAAACAAAAACAGTAAAGGAAACCAAAGAAATACTGCACTAAGATATTACATACAATAAATGCCAGAAATTGTTCCTATTGTCTGAGACCTGAGGCTTTTGACAAACGGAAGGCTAGACTAGCTACTGCCCCAGTTCAAGAACCACATTTTCATTCCCCCCCAAAGCTCCCTCGTGTCCTCTTTCCAGCCTTTTGACCTCTTCCGCCTGCCCAGACATCCACTGCTCTGATTGCTATTGCTGTCCCCTGTCGTTCCCAGAATGCCCTCTAAACAGAAGCAGTATGCCAGTGTTCTTTTGTGCCTGGCTCTTTTCAACGGGCACAATGCCTTTGAAATCCACCCTAGTGAGTGGTGGAACACAGCAGTGTTTTTTTTTTTTTTTTTTTTTTTTTTTTTTTAGGTCTACTTATTATGTATACAGTGTTCTGCCTGCAGGCCAGAAGAGGGCACCAGATCGCATTACAGATTATTGTGAGCTACTATGTGGTTGCTGGGAATTGAATTCAGGACCTCTGGAAGAGCAGCAGTGTGAGCCATCTCTCCAGCCGATGATTGTATTCTTTTCTGACTCTGGTCTGTCACTAGACAGAGGTTACGTACCTGGCCTTGACCTGACAGAACACTGGATGTGGGACTTAATATTTACAATTTCCTCCTCCCCCCAGACAGTGAAGGGTAGCCAGCTGCCTAGGTGTGTGACATGTGATCACATGTCCCTTCTCCGGAAGTTTGACCATACTGGCAAGTGCCCTTGTGGCTCTTTTCCTAATGGTGTCTGAATTGTTCCTAGAAGAAACCTGGCCTCTTCCCCTCAAAACAAAAACTAACACAAAACAAACCCTGGTCTGGTGTGGTAGTAGGGCATGTGAGACACAGAGTAGATGACCTAAGGAAACACTGAATACGGCTGGTGAATTATAGATCCCAGGGTAAGTACTTCCCCTTCACCATCCTCAACCAGCTGCTGGGATCCAGAAGGAGATGGACAGGTAGACCAAGGCCATTACCAGTGTCAAGAAGATACCCCAAAGCAACTTCTAATTGGTTTGTTTAGTTACAGCAAGCAGGCTTGCATGGAATTCCTAGGAAGCAGGAACAAGTAGGGTTAGATGCCTGAGCCACATTAAGAAGCCGAGAGGGGCTGGGTGGTGATGGCACATGTCTTTAATCCCAGCACTCAGGAGGCAGAGGCAGATGGATCTCTGTGAGTTCGATAGCTTACAAGAGCTAGTTCCAGGACAGGCTTCAAAGCTACAGAGAAACCCTGTCTCAAAAAAACAAAAACAAAAAAAAAAACAAAAACAAACCAAAAAGTGGGGAACAGAGCTGGAAACTGTCAAAGATGACTAATCCTTGCTCTAGAAGGATTCAGAGTTGAACTCAAAATGGCCTCTGAGGCAACATACAATTCTAGTCCTCACTGGATTGTGTCCCTGTAGTTTCCTCTTTGCCACTGGCGTTTTCTCTTGCATCGAGATTCCACACACTCTTACCCCTCTCAGAGCCCCAACGTGAGAGGTTTTGTTTCCAGCTGGGGATACTGTGAATAAGAATGACTTTCATATGTCTATAAAACTCGTTGTATGCACATCTGTTTTCGTTTCATTTGGAAAAGTACCCAAAAGTGGGTGGCTGGCTCATGGGAGGGTGGGTTTGTTTTCTGTTCCAGTGCTGAAGGCTAAAGGAGGTCATTGCACACACCACTGTAGGCACTCTGTCACTGAGCTATTAGCACCCCCTTTAGCTTTTTATTTTGAGACAGGGTATAACTGAGTTGTCCAGGCTGGCCTTAAACTTGTTAGCCTCCTACAGCCTCTTGAGTACTCCCTGTAAACCTAATTACAGGTTTGTACCAGTAGACTTGACCAGGCTAGTCTTTCTTTACTTTTACAGGAAGCTGTCAAATTATTTTGTAAAAACAGTTATGCTATTTCTATTAAAGTCCACGGCAACCTATGGCTTGGCTTTGAGTTTCTGTTCATTCATGTTCTTGTTCTCTCTCTCTCAGGTCTCTCCTACACCAGGATGGTCTTGAACTCATGATTCTACCTCCACTCGAATATGCACTACTGACACTCAACACTATGCCCACACACTTCTCACATCAAATCTCTGTGAAAATTTTCAGTGCTGGATGGAACCTAGGAACTCATGCATGTGAAACAACCACCCCACCACTGAGAAACAATTTTGTGTCTTCTTTAACTGTGACAGCATCTAATTTGTTAAAATTTCCCAAGCTGGGGCTGGAGAGATGGCTCAGTGGTTAAGTGCACTGGCTTCCAGAGGTCCCAAGTTCAATCCCCAGCAACCTTATGATGGCTCACAACCATCTATAATGAGATCTGGTGCTCTCTTCTGGCATGCATGGATACATGCAGACAGAACACTGTATACATAATAAATCTTTTTAAAAAAATTCCTGAGCTGGGCATGGTGGTACACTTTGATTTCAGTACTTAGCAGAGCAGAGACAGGAAGGGTGGGCTAAAGCACATTTGAGGCTACATGGGTAGACCCCTTTCAAAACACCCAAAGTAATTTGTTTTTCCTTCCAGGATCATGCTGGGTTTGGTGCTGGAATTGAGCAGAGGGGGCTCTGTGCCTGCTAGCCAAGTACCCAACCACTTAACTACACCCTTATTCCTTAAAATAGGTGTGTACAAATACGGGAGTGTGTTTATGTGTGTGCACTTATGTGTTCATGTACATGTGTATGCCAGAGGTCAATCTCTGGTATTGTTGAGGTGGTGGCACATATTGTTGGGGACACAGAGGTCCTTGTAGTCACAGAGAAGCACTAAGAGAACCAGGAATGTTAATGACACAGGGGTGTCTCTCCTCAATGGAGGACATAAAAATCAAATACCCAAATTCCATCCAGTAAGCTGACGTGAATTTTATTAATGACCTGGTGACCTTTTGCTATGGAGGCAGACCTCACCCAGGTCCCCAGGATGATTATCCCAGACTCTTCCCTCCCTCGACCATTACCCATCCTTAGGGGAGATGGCACAAGAACTTTATGGCCTGCTGACCTCTGTGTCAGAGACCACACTAGATTCCAGGTCTGTTAGCTATAGACCCTCCCTCACGGTCACATGTACTGTAAAGGAGTCTCCGTGTAGTCACACCTTAAGCTTTATTTACATCTGGAATTTGGATTTTTCCCAAATTGCACTGTTTTCAATATGCTGCCAGTGAACCGCCTGGCTTTAGACTCTCGGAAGTCTGATCCAGGTTGATGAAGTCAATATTTGCATCGGGCTTTCATTCTCATCTTGTGGGGCAGTTCTTTACCCTGAATGACACCTGCAGGGACCCCCTCAATGCACTTTTAATCCCAGCACTCAAGAGGCAGAGGCCAGCAGATCTTTGAGTTCGAGACCTGCCTGGTCTACAGACCGAGTTCTGGGACAGCCAGGTCTACAGAGAAAGCCTGTCTTGAAGAAAGAGGAGAGAGATGGGGAGAGAAAGATGGAGAGAGAGACAGAGATGAGAGAGACAGAGAGATGAGAGAGACAGAGATACAGAGAGACGAGAGAGACAGAGAGATGAGAGAGAGAGGAGGGGAGGGAGAGAGAGAAAGAGATACCTTGGTTTTTGAGGCAGAGCCTGCCACTGGCTTCTAGCTCACCAAGTAGAGTAGGCTGGGCTAACTAGTCAATAATTTCCAGGGACCTCCTCTTTTTTTTTGAAACAGGGTTTCTCTGTGTTACAGACCTGGTTTCCTGGAATTCTCTCTGCAGACCAGGTTGGCCTCAAACTCAGAGATCCATCTGCCTCTGCCTGGCTGGGATTAAAGCTGTGTGCCATCGTGCCCTGCCATGTCTGGCTTTTTAAATGGGTTTGAGGATGGAATTCTGGTCTTCAATCTTGTGTCACAAGTACCTTATTCATCTCTCTAAGTCTAAAAATGTGTCCTCCCCCTTCTTTGAGGCAGGGACTCACTAGGTTATTTAAGCTGGCCTTGAACTCATTTATAGTCCAAGCAGGCTTTGAACTGCTGATTCTCCTTCAG